AACTTTGTTTTTGCCATTTTGTTATCTACAAGGAACCAAATCTTGGGGGCCTCCTACATATACAGTATATTCTGGCGTATAAGACTACTTTTTAACCCAAGAAAATCTTCGCAAAAGTCAGGGGTCGTCTTATACGCAGGTGTAGTCTTATGCATGGGAGTCGTCTTAACTCTATATTTTAACTGGAAAAGTTGGGGGTCGTCTTATACGCCCAGTCGTCTTATATGCCGGAATATACGGGTATATAAGTGCCTCCTATATTAAAACATTTAATGCCAGAAGCGAATTGAAATTACAGTTATAATGTACAATAAAAACACAAAGTTAAAAACTTGGCATTATACTAAATTTCCATGTGGCTCTTAACGAGACATGCCGAATTATCACAGGATATCTATGCCCAACACCACTGGAAAAATTACACTGTTTAGCCAGTATTGGACCACCTGACATCCGCCGAGAAGTAGTAGCTGTATTAAATGAAAGAACCCAGGCAGTGACATCTCTGGTCCATCCTCTGTTCGGATACCAGCCAGCATGCCAATGCCTGAAATCAAGAAACAGCTTACTAAGATCTACAGAGATACTCGCAGGAACACCTCAGCAAATGAGAGTCCAAAAGTGGCAGGCTAAAAACCCAGAACCTCAAATCAGTGGCTGAGACAGGATGAGAAACTCCCCCCTGGGCACACAGAAGGCCAGGCAACTGGCACTGAACAGACTGCGCTCTGACACCATGAGATACAGAGCTGATCTTAAGAAATGGGGCTTCAAAGTAGAGTCCACGACATGCGAGTGTGGAGAAGAGCAAACCACAGACCACTTACTCCAATGTAGTCTGAGCCAGGCCACGTGCATAATGGAGGACCTTCTCAAAGCAACACCAGAAGCAATCCAGGTGGTCAGCTTCTGGTCAAAAGAAATATGATTTAAATCACACACTTAAAAATAATAGAACAACAGTTTAAAACAGTCAAATTAAAACAATACAGAACTCACTTTAAAAGTCATTACTTTTTAAATCTTCCAAAACCTATCAGAATTCTGGTTAAAATCTTCACCTGCCAACAGAAGGGCAGCAAAGTGAGGCCCATTCTTGCCTCTTTGAGAATAAAGTCCCAGAGCGCAGGGGCAGTCACTGAGAAGGTCCACAAGCCGTGCCTATGAAGGTACTGAGATTCCATGAGCTTTTACACAATTTCCTAAGTTCATGGGAAAAGGGACACATCTTGGTTACAAGAAATGCATTATCTAAATGTCAGCAGTCAAATACCTAAAGGGATTTGTTAAATGTCAGACAACAGCAAGAGGAATGGGGAGAAAGGAGCAGCAGAAAGAAGATGCAAGCTGTGAATGGGCACAAATGTGTTAGTCTATCACTCTCTTTGTAGGAAATGCTATTTTTTTGTTTATTCCTACAGTCGCTTCCAACTCTTTGTGACCTCATGGATCAGCCCACAGCAGAGCTCTCACCCCCAGCTCCTTCAAGATCAATCCAGTCACTTCAAGGATACCATTCACCTCTGTTGTCCTTGGTCGGCCCCTCTTCCTTTTTCTTTCCATTTTCCCCAGCATCATTATCTTCTCCAAGCTTTCCTGTCTTTTCGTTACGTGGCCACAGTACTTCATCTTTGCCTCTAATATCCTTCTCTCCAGTCAGCACTCGGGCATTATTTCCTGGAGGATGGGCTGGTTTGATCTTCTTGCGATCCAAGGCACTCTCAGAATTTTTCTCCAACACCCTAGTTCAAAAGCTTCTATTGGAAATACTATACCTGAGTGGAAAACAAATAGTCTATACATGCTACTGGTCTACAGCTTCCCAATCCCTCACCTGGTCAGATCTAAAAAGAGTTATAATCAAATAATAAATAGTATATCACATAGCCTCCAACTCTTCCAATTTGACCATCTCAATTAATCCATTGTTGTCCTGTTTTTTTTCAGCAGCAGTTTAAATTTCCCAGTTTCTCTCTTTTCCTGCTGCTTTCCCCTTTGTCCTTCAGTGAGTTAACTTTGTTTGCACAAAGTTAGCTGACTGTAGGAGAGGACAGGAGAGAGAGAGGCGCAAATCATGCCCTTCCCAGTAAACTCAAAAGCAAACTCAAAAGGATTTCCCCAGGCAATAAAAAGCCAGACCTTGACACTGCTGGGCCACTGAATGCTCATCAAGATGACCAATTGAAACATTCACATCTACCTTGAATAGGCAAAATTGTCTGCGGACATTCCATAGCTATATATAAACCCCATTTTCCTAGTTTCCAACAAACCTCACAACCTCTGAGGATGCCTGCCATAGATGCAGGCAAAACGTCAGGAGAGAATGCTTCTGGAACATGGCCATACAGCCTGGAAAACTCGCAACAACCCAAGCTGTGTCAGCATGTCCTAGTTTATGTGTTCATCCTCATTAACAATTTGTTGCCATGTTGAACACACTCTGATGTTGCTTGGTCATAGGAATCCTTTCTTTCATCAGTCAAATTTTGGAAGGTTTAGTACTAGAGACTGCCTGCCTTCGCTAGATTTATTTGTTGAGTGGTCAAAACACTATATACGCTAAGAGGCATCCTTTGTTACTCTTATGTCATACAGCAATCACTTGTAATCATAAGTGATTCTTTGATCTGCTAAGAGGACGTTTCTGCACAAAGTGGGTTACACCCATCCCTGCTCAGAGTTCAGTCATGTGATTTCAAGGCAACTGAATACCTTGGCCACCTCAATTGAGCCCTGGGGACAGGAAATTGCCGCAATGGGTGTGGTTAGGTTAGGTTAAAACAAAACCTGTGTTGCACAGATGTTGTCAAATAAATAAGGGAGCCAGAAGAGCCTGTCCTGAAACCAGCCTGCATAGCGATGATGCCCTTGACTTCTTAGGGAGACACATTATAAACCTGTTTGGCTCTGCACCACTCAGCTGTGAAGAATCTCATCCGCCTTCAAAAGCATCAAGGGTGTCAAACCAACCCGCTTCCATATCACTGGTACATTGCTAGCACAATGTTTGGGATGTTAGATTTTTAAATGTCATCTTTTTTTAGAATTAGAAATGCTGCCCATCAACAAAAAAAAGTCACTCACAGCATCAGTCTAGGCAGAGCACAAAATTCAGGCTGTTTTCTTCTTTTTCACCAGTTTGTTTCGAAACTGGTGGTGCAGTGGGTTAAACCCCTGTGCCAGCAGGACTGAAGATCAACAGGTCACAGGTTCAAATCCGGGGAGAGCATGGACGAGCTCCCTCTATCAGCTCCAGCTCCTCATGCGGGGACATGAGATAAGCCTCTCACAAGGTTGGTAAAACATCAAAACATCTGGGCATCCCCTGGGCAACATCCTTGCACACAGTCAATTATCTCACAGCAGAAGTGACTTGCAGTTTCTCAAGTCACTCCTGAGACGACAAAAAAAACTGTTTGTTGTTGTTCAGACTTTTCTGACTCTTCATTATCTCATTGACCACAGCTCCCTGTCAGCCGTCACCACCTCCAGCTCCTTCAAGGCCACTCCCAGGATACCATCCATCCATCTTGCCCTTGGTCAGCTCCTCTTCCTTTTTCCTTCCATTTCCCCCAGTATCATTATCTTCTCCAAGCTTTCCTGTCGTCTCATTATGTGGTCGAAGTACTTCATCTTTGTCTCTAATCTCCTTCCCTTCAGTGAACAGTCGGGCTTTATTTCCAGGAGTGTGGACTGGTTGGATCTTCTCGCTATCCAAGGCACTCTCAGAATTTTCCTCCAGCACCACAGTTCAAAAGTGTCCATCTTCCTTCGCTCAGCCTTCCTTAAGTTCTAGCTCTCACATCCATAGGTTACTACAGGGAATACCATTTGCTTTAACTATTTATTTATTTAGGGCATATGTTTTTGTTGTTCATTCGTTCAGTTGTTTCTGACTCTTCGTGACCTCATGGACCAGCCCACGCCAGAGCTTCCTGTCGGCCGTCACCTCCCCCATCTCCTTCAGAGTCAAGCCAGCCACTTCAAGGATGCCATCCATCCATCTTGCCCTTTGTCTACCCCTCTTCCTTTTTTCTTCCATTTTTCCCAGCATAATTCTCTTCTCTAAGCTTTCCTGTGTCTTCATGATGTGGCCAAAGTACTTCAACTTTGTCTCTAATATCCTTCCCTCCAATGAACATTTGTATCCCATCCTATCTCAACCTCCGCTGAGGGACTCAGGGCAGCTATGTGGATCTTTGTTGCCAGCGTGATGCCTCTACTCTTAATTGTTTTATCGAGATTGATCATTGCTCTCCTTCCAAGAAGTAAACATTTTCTAATTCCCTGGCTGCAGTCTGCGTCTGCAGTAATCTTCACTCCTAGAAATACAAAGTCTGTCACTGCCTCCACGTTTTCTACATTTGCCAGTTATCAATCAGAAAACTGGTCAACTTGGAAGGCGCTGAACAGACTGCGTTCTGCACCACAAGATGCAGAGCCAACCTCAAGAAATGGGGCTACAAAGTGGAATCCACGACATGCGAGTGTGGAGAGGAGCAAACCACTGACCACCTGCTGCAATGCAACCTGAGCCCTGCCACATGCACAATGGAGACCTTCTTGCAGCAACACCAGAAGCACTCCAAGTGACCAGATACTGGTCAAAGGACATTTAATCAACTACCAAACTCACAAATTTTGTATTTTGTCTGTTTGTCTGTTTGTTTGTTTTGTTCTGTTAGAAATGTAATACAATTGACTGGTTGCCTGACACGACAAATAAATAAATCAGTGTGAATCAGAATTGCCCAAAGTGCACCAGAAGTACCCAAAGCAAATCAGGTGTGCCCTATGTGCATTGAAATGCTCTTGCTAGTGCTCAGATGTACATTGTCACAATTTACTAACAGGGTTTTGTTATATTTCTGCAACATAGTTATAGGTTTGTACATTTGTGGAACTGTAGAGTGTGATATAGGATCACGGCTTAAATATTGTTTCTAATTTGAATAATAACTAAAATAACAATATTTTATTGGCATTCACTTCAACAGATCTACGAAATTGCGCACATTAGCGAGAGGCTTGTCTCCCGGCTTTCTGAGGTTTGGGGGCACAAAAACGGACTTCTTGATTTTCGATCCCAAAGAAGAGCCAACGCTGGAGGAGAAGGTTTTCCTGGACCAGGTAGCCAGACAAGGTAAACTGGAGGTTAATGCTGTGAACCTTTGACACACTTGTTAGTGAACACTGTAGGAGGAAAAATCTTTCCCTACTAAGTTGATTAGATCATGGAAATTGAGAGCTTGGTAAAGTCATTGTATTTGGATAACATCCGGGCACACCCTGGGCAACATCCTTGCAGACAGCTAATTCTTTCACACCAGAAGCGACTTGCAGTTTCACAAGTCGGTCCTGCCATGAAAAAAAATTGGATAACAGCACACAGAAACCAATCTAAAACAACCACCCTTTGGCAGTGTGAGTCAGTAATGACTATTGGATGCTATAAATCCGCTTACATTTAAGCGAAAGAGGTAACTGCTCTAGAACTTCTATTCAGGCTCTTCATAGCAGAGTGTCAGCAGTCTTATTATGCTAAGTTTCAATGTTGATTCCATCCTATTTTGGGTGGCGAGAGCTGCTGACAAGCATGTATTCCTGCATTTAAAGGCCTATTTCCGCCTGGTTGGCAGATGAAGCAAAACACATCCAGCTTAACTCTTCATAGTGCTGCTGGTTATTCCTACAACCACAAAATCTCAATAGAGTAGGGGAGAAAAACTCCAAGGTGAAGGCTAGGCATTGCATTTGTCCTCCAGGTGTCATTCACCCTCCATTTCCAGCATCACCCCTGACTGTGCTGGCTAAGATTGATAGTAGGTTTTGTTTTTGCTTTTTTTGTCGTGTCATGAGCGACTTGAGAAACTGCAAATCACTTCTGGTGTGAGAGAATTGGACGTCTGCAAGGACATTGCCCAGGGGATGCCCGGATGATTTGATTTTTTTTTATCATCTTTGTGGGAGGCTTCTCTCATGTCCCCGCATGAGGAGCTGGAGTTGATAGAGGGAGGTCATCCACCTCTCCCCGGATTTGAACCTGCGACCTGTCGGTCTTCAGTCCTGCCAGCACAGGGGTTTAACCCACTGTGCCACCATGGGCTCCAGGTGCAGTTCAATAATATATTTACATTTATTTATTTATTATTTTACAGTATATTCTGCCTTTCTCACCCCGCAGGGGACTCAGGGCGGATTACAATGTAAACATATATGACAAACATTCAATACCAAAGACACACAACAGATATAGACAGACAGTCAGAGGCTATTTAACTTTTCTGGCTGCCAGGGGAGCTGTCGCTTTTCATCGTCCATCTACGACACTGATGAAGTACTTCCGCATTCCCTGCATGCTTTTGCTGTAGTCTTTTTTATGGCCTCGTAAATTAGTTAAATTAGCCTCCCCACACATAGGGGGAACCTAATTTTCCTCCTTGACAGATGCAACTGTCTTTCAGGTTGCAAAGGTTGACAACATTCTACACAATTGTTCGGAAGCTCACTCCAACCCAGGCTGGCTTCGAACTCATGACATAATTTCCTCTCCTGAACTAGGTGGTACAATATTTAAAAAGATGCATCAGAAACAGAAAGAGCCAAAAGTCAGGCCAGATATAGATTTGTGTTGGAAGAAATTTCATGATTTTAATTGAGTTGATAAATAACCCTTGGTTTCACTTCTATTCCAGTTTTTATCCCATTTTCCCACTCCAGTAGGAGACATATTGATGACTCCTATAATTATAAATAAGTCACATTACATATGGCATGTAACAGTATCACGCTCTTAAAGCAAGAGCAAGAAGGTTTGATATTTCCCCTTTGTGGTCTCAATGTAAGTTCATTTGAATGCACCGTGTTGAGCTGTTGAGCTGCTGAACTTGCTGGCTGAAAGGTTGCCGGTTCATATCCATAGGACGGGGTGAGCTCCCGCTGTTATCCCCAGCTCCTGCCAACCTAGCAGTTTGAAAACATGCAAATGTGAGTAGATCAATAGGTACCACCTTGGTGGGAAGATAAACCATGCTCCACGCAGTCATGCCAGCCACATGACCTAGGAGATATCTATGGACGATGCAAGCTCTTCGGTTTAGAAATGGAGATGAGCACCACTCCCAGAGCCAGAGATGAAGGGGAAGCCTTTACCTTTATCTGTGTATCTGTGTTTCGATGTGTTGTCACAGATTTTCATAGCTGGAATCACTGTATGGCCATGTTTCAGAAGCATTCTCTCCTGACGTTTTGCTTGCATCTATGGCAGGCATCCTCAGAGTTTGTGAGGTGTATCAGTGTTTCGTTGTTTCTAGGCATTGAATGTTTGCCTTGTGTCTGTATATGCTGGAATCAGCCCTGAGTCTCCTTGGGGAAATAGGGCGGAATACAAATAAATAATTATTTTACTGACACAAAAACACAGCAAATGAGAGATATATGCTGGATTTCGTATCACAAAATCACAAGTTGAACACTTCCCAAGCGTTTAGGACTGTGTGATATAGTTTTGAATTATGCGCGTAGATCCAAGTAAGATGGCCATTTGCTTTTGATAGATTGTGATTTTCTCATAGATTGTGATTGTTTCTAAATGCTGGCTGAGATCTTTTGGCACGGCACCCAGTACGCCAGTGACCACTGGGACCACCTGTACTGGTTTATGCCAAAGCCTTTGCAGTTCAATTTTGAGGTCTTGATAACAGCTGAGTTTTTCCTGTTGTTTTTCGTCAATTTGACTGTCACCTGGTATAGCAACATCAATAATCAAAACTTATTACTAATATTTAACAATACTTAAATTGTTTAATATTTAATACTTACATTATTTGAAACACAACAAGATGAGTCCACAGCAAACAAGATCACTCTGCTGGCGCTATTGGATTAGGAGCATAGTGTCTAGATCTAGGGAAGTCATGCTACCCCTCTATTCTGCTTTGGTTACACCACACCTGGAATATTGTGTCCAATTCTGGGCACCACAATTCAAGAGAGATATTGACAAGCTGGAATGTGTCCAGAGGAGAGCGACTAAAATGATCAAAGGTCTGGAGAACAAGCCCTATGAGGAGCGGCTTAAGGAGCTGGGCATGTTTAGCCTGAAGAAGAGAAGGCTGAGAGGAGATATGATAGCCATGTATAAATATGTGAGAGGAAGCCACAGGGAGGAGGGAGCAAGCTTGTTTTCTGCTTCCCTGGAGACTAGGACGCAAAACAATGGCTTCAAACTACAAGAAAGGAGATTCCATCTGAACATGAGGAAGAACTTCCTGACTGTGAGAGCCGTTCAGCAGTGGAACTCTCTGCCCCGGAGTGTGGTGGAGGCTCCTTCTTTGGAAGCTTTTAAACAGAGGCTGGATGGCCATCTATCAGGGATGCTTTGAATGCAATATTCTTGCTTCTTGGCAGGGGGTTGGATTGGATGGTCCATGAGGCCTCTTCCAACTCTATGTATCGGCGAATAATGCATGCAGATCCCAATAAGGTGGCCTTCTGCAGCTGGAAGATGGTCATTTTGTCAGCGCCGATTGTGTTTAAGTGCAGGCCAAGGTCTTTAGGCACTGCACCCAGTGTGCCGATCATCACTGGGACCACCTTGACTGGCTTGTGCCAGAGTCTTTAGTAATTGGGAGTCTTTAATAATGGGAGGGCATGGCAATGTCTAATAATAATAATAATAATAATAATAATAATAATAATAATAATAATAATAAGGCTATTTTAGACCAAAAAGTGACATTGCCATGCCCTCCCATTATTATGTATGGTATTTGGTTGTGACTTTATTTCTTGTGGTCAGCTTGACGATAGTAGGTCAAATCACAAGGTGAGCTTCAATTAAAAGCCTGAACGAAGTCTCCTCACCTGGAAAATGGAAAGGAGTGCCATCTGTCAGGACTCTAAAATTGGTTCAACTCCAGCATCTCAAGTCATACAATTAAAGGAATTTGGAGATTAAAGTTTCCCCTGAGGCTCATAATGAGTAAAGAAGAAGGTGCGTCCTAAAGCAGTCCTCCTCTGTATTGTTTCTGTAATCATAAAGTTGGAAGAGACCACAAAGACCATACAGTCCAATCCCTTTAGGAAGGGTCTAAAGCCAATGGCTTCATTTTGACCTCATGCCAATGACTTCATTTCGATCTAAATCCAATTACCTCATTTCGGAGTGTCTCATCAAAATGTTTTCCTTCTTTTAAAAAATGTAAACAACTTGAAATAATATGAAATAAGATTGAAAGAGAAAAATCCAAACAATGCAGAACATACACAACTACATTCAACAAAACTACGAACATGCTACAATATTACACTACAAAATATAAACAAAAAGGGGGAAGGAGGGACAATTGGCTCTCAAGTTCCTGGCTAACGGTTATAATATTTTCTTTCTTCTACTTTCTCTAACTATATAACATAAATGAATTTATACCAACATAGTTAATCCTACTATTCTTAAAAAAAAAAACAAACTCTAATATGAATAATTTCCTTCATTGCTCCTTCAGAAATACACTGACCAATTCTCAATCTTTGTTAAAGCTGGTTTCTGTGAGTTTTCTGGGCTGTATGGCCTTGTTCCAAAAGCATTCTCTCCTGACATTTAGCTCACATCTATGGCAGGCATCCTCAGAGGTTGTGAGGTCTGTTGGAAACTAGGCAAGTGAGGTTTATATATCGGTGGAATACTGTCCAGGGTGGGAGAAAGAACTCTGGTCTGCTTTAAGCAAGTGTGAATGTTGCAATTGGCCACCTTGATGAGCATTGAATGGCCTTGCAGCTTCAGAGACTGCTGCTTCCTGTCTGGGGGAATCCTTTGTTGGGAGTTGTAGACAGCCCTGATTGTTTCATATCAGGATTTCCCCCCCTTTTTTAGTGTTCCCATTTATTTACAGTACTGACGTTAAAGTTTTTAAATACTGGTAGCCAGATTTTGTTCATTTTCATGGTTTCCTCCTTTTCTGTTGAAATTGTCCACATGCTTGTGGATTGTAATGGCTTCTCTGTGTAGTCTGACATGGTGGTTGATAGAGTGGTCCAGCATTTCTATGTTCTCAAATAATATGCCGTGTCCAGGTTGGTTCATCAAGTGCTCTGCTATGGCGGACTTCTCTGGTTGAATTGCACAGTCTACCAGGGCTTTAATTGTGCTTCAATTGTGCAAGGCCATTCACTGCTAATCAAGCTTGCCAATTGCAACATTCACACTTGACTCCAACAGACAAGAGTTCTTTCTCCCACCCTAGACATTCCGCAGATATATAAACCTAACTTGACTAGTTTCCAACAGACCCCTCAACCTCTGAGGATGCCTGCCATAGATGTGAGTGAAATGACAGGAGAGAATGCTTCTGGAACATGGCCATACAGCCCAGAAAGCTCACAGAAACCCAGGAATTCTGGCCATAAAAGCCTTCAACAACACACTTGATGACTTTTATGTTTTTATCATCTCTGACCTGCAATTAGTCCAGTCTGTAATGTTTCTATTATGTTGAGGAGATATAATTTAAGGATTTGTCTTGAAGACATTTAGTGGGTGCTTAAGAATACAGCAGACTTACTAGCTCTTTAGGATAAAGTTGTCTTTTGAGCAATTCCTCAGTTCCCTGGCCTATTTATGAACCTGAAAACATTGCCATGCCCTCCCATCATCCCTTTGGTTGCGTATTCCCACTTCACAACAATCAGCTTGATATTCTGAAACTCTGGAGAAATGCCACAAGCAATCACAGGAACTGTACAGAGATTCAATCTGTCTGCAAATAAAGATCTTGAGAAAGAAATGTCATTGCCCTCATGATAACCTTAAAATATTTATCTCTCTCCCGTTCTCTTTTCCTGTCACTCCACAGATGGTGCAGATGTTTGTCAATTCAGATCTCCACCACTGGACGTTATGCAGGACTTGCAGTCTCAGTGGCCCTTCCAAGCGATGGTTCTTCTCAGAGATCAATACAAGAATAAATACAGAAATACCACCATTACACGTGAGATAATTGTTGAGTTAGTTATACATTTCACATTTGCAGGATTTGATTCATCGGTTCTCTATTGGCATCGGCTTGTTATTTCTGCTCGGCTGCTGTCAACCATATTCCTGGTTTGGATACCACATTAAATATCTTGCCTTGTTTGTTTACACAGCTGAAGAAGTGGGAGCAATTAACCTGCATGCATGAACACAGGCCACATCTATACTGCCATATAATGCAGTAGGAAACTGCATTACATGGTCAGTTTAACTGAATTGAACTATATTATATGAGTCTACACCAGGCATGGGCAAACTTTGGCCCTCCAGGTGTTTTGGACTTCAACTCACACAATTCCTAACAGCTGGTAGGCTGTTAGGAATTGTGGGAGTTGAAGTCCAAAACACCTGGAGGGCCGAAGTTTGCCCATGCCTGGTCTACACTGACCATATAATGCAGTTTCATACTGCATTATATGGCAGTGCACATTGTGTTCAAATAATCCAGGATTTCTAGTTTATTGTGAATACAAATATTGTCAAAGTAAACAAATGTCTGCTTACAATGTACTTCTATTTTGAACCCTTGTTATGAAATCAGAAATGTCAATAAATGTTTTCCTAGGATATTATGTGCTCATGTGATTTACGGTATCTTACACAGTAGAGTGTGAATACAATTTAGGACATATATACATGTTACATGATTTGCGGATGAATTTGGATTGGGGTAGAAAAGGCACGTCTTAAGCATTAAGCCATGTAATAATATAAGGAGGGGGTTTTTTGTTCTCATTTTCATCCTATCCACAGGAAGCACAGTTGACATTTTGTACAACTTCGCACACTGTGCTGGTTTGCATCTAATCTTTGGACTCAACGCCTTGCTAAGGAAAAGCAGCTTCCAGTGGGACAGCACCAATGCGCAGCTAATTTTGGATTACACGGATTCTCAGAATTACAGCATGTCTTGGGAACTTGGAAATGGTACGTGATGCATTGTGTATATGTGATAACATGATGGATTGCTTTAGCTCCAAATACCAAGGAGGGAAGAGGAAACGCTAAGCTGCTTTTTAAATTTAGTTTGGTAGAACTGTAGAATTGTGTTGTCTGCCTACCAAGATGCTCTCACTACCTTGATGTAACCATGGCATCATTCTCTCATACTGCTTCATGAAGCAAGGTCTTAAGTGTAATTCTGGATATATCTACACTGTAGCATGTGTGCAATTCAACACCACTTTAACTCAATGCTGTGGAATCTTAGGATTTGCAGTTTGGTGAGGCACCAGCACTCTTTATCAGAGAAGGCTCAAAGCACTGCAAAATGACACTTCCTAGGATTCCATAGCATTGAGCCTTTGCAGTTAAGGTGGCCTAAAACTGCATTCATTCTGCAGTGTAGATGACCCTCTGTAGCTACTTTATTTATGTATTTATTTACAATATTTATATTCCGCCCTTCTCAAATTGCAGGGGACTCAGGGCGGATCCATGAGTCAGGGTGAGCTCCTGCTGTTAGCCCTAGCTCCTGCTGTTAGCCCTAGCAGTTCGAAAACATGCAAATGTGAGCAGATCGATAAGGAAAAGGTAAAAAGAAGTCCCATGCAGTCATGCCTCCCACACAACCAGGAGGTGTCTACAGACAACACAGGCTCCTTGGCTTGAAAAGCACCTCCCCCAGGGCCGGAGATGAGCACTACCTCCAGAGCCGGAAATGAAAGGAGAAGCCTTTGCATTTGTCTGTGTATTTGTATGTCATTGTATCTTATTGTAACAAGGCCCTGTGACTATTTATATGCTGTAATCTGCTCTGAGTCCTCTCGGGGAGAAGGGCGGAATACAAATAAAGTGTTATCATCATCATCATCCCAGTCTATATGGTGGATAATAAAAAGTGATGGGAGTTGTCCTTCAACATACGGGGACCCAAATTGGGTAAAAACTAAAGAGCACTGACCACTAAGTAAAAATTTATCGTTGGCCCTCTGTGTCCACATATTCTCAGTCCATAGATTCAATGGCCCTTTGAATGCAAACATAAGGCTGGAGTGGCCCTTGATGAATATGCGTTTGACACTCCTGAGGCAGAATATGCCGAGAGGGGACATATTTTATCAGATATGAATAAATGAAACCATAGATACTGGCCCCACCAATACAAGGGCTGTAGTGTATTTTCTAAACTATTTATTTATTTTCCACAGTTGTACCCTGCCTTTCTCACCCCGAAGGGGACTCAGGGCAGCCTCACAAAGGCAAAATTCAATGCCGCATATACATATAGGATAGACTACTGCAATGCACTCTACGTGGGGTTGCCTTTGAAGACTGCTCGGAAGCTTCACATAGTCCAACGAGAGGCAGCCAGGTTAATAACTGGTGCGGCATGGAGGGAGCATACAACTCCCATGTTACGCCAGCTCCACTGGCTGCCAGTTTGCTACCGGGCACAATTCAAAATGCTGGCTTTGGCCTATAAAGCCCTAAACAGCCCTGGCCCAAATTACCTGTCTGAACACATCTCCTCCTATGAACCATCATGGAGATTAAGATCCGCCGGGGAGGCACTGCTTTCCGTCCTGGCATTGTCACAGGCACAATTGGTGGGTATGAGAGACAGGGCCTTCTCGGTGATTGCTCCCCAGCTATGGAACTCCCTTCCTGGTGAGATCAAGTCGTCCCCCTCCCTCCTGTCCTTTAGAAGGATGGTAAAAATTTGGCTGTGGGACCAAGCTTTCGGGACAGGGCAATGAAGCGGCAGTGGGAAAGATGACAGGGCCAATTGGATTTGATGTGGATAGTTAGGACGGTTTTAAATTGTGCATTTTAATATTTTGATTTTTTTTTAATGTTTATGTATTGTATGTGAATTTGTGTCCCGGCATTGAATGTTTGCCGTGTATATGCTGTGCTCCGCCCTGAGTCCCCTTTGGGGTGAGAAGGGCGGAGTATAAATGTTTTAAATAAATAAATGCATACATACATACTTATTGGTAAGTAAACAACTGCATTAAAATCAACCCAATTAAAAACATAAACATTAAAACATCAGTTAAAAATCACAAAATCCAAATCATAGTCCAGGGCCAATGTGAGTCATCTAGTGAATATGTTAATAAGTAGAGATCATAAATAGAAATTATAAGGGTTACAAATGGATGAATCTAGGTTGTGCAATCATAACTGCTATAATTCTGCCTGGCATCTGTATAAATTGTTGCTATTTTGAAAATTGACACTAAAATACTTTACAAAATAAGAACATGAAGTCTCTTTCAATATTTCTGAAAAGTAAACTGATATTCTGCTGTGCTCATCTACCAAAGTCTAAAATCAATTTTGTTTAATAGAAAACAAGGACTCAAACTGTTCCAAACACTGCTCCACTGCAATGTACTTCTGAATAAAAAGGAATCTTGGGTATTTTTATTTTATTTCTGTATGTTCTTATTTCAAGTACTAAAGTGTACTTAATAGCTGTATGGATACTTCATGTTCTGTTCTTTGGTTGATTATTACCACTGTGTAAATTTTGAACAAGTCACACCCAGTAACCATTTTTTGAGAGCCATCTAACTGTGTTTATTTTGTGTTTTTCTTTCAGAACCTAACAGCTTCAAGCACAAGTCTGGCATTTACATTGATGGCTTCCAACTAGGGCAGGACTTCATACACCTCCGCCAGCTTCTGAACAATTACGGCCGATACAGAACTGCCAAACTCTATGGCCCCGATGTAGGTCAGCCAAGGAAAAACACTCAGAAGTTGCTGAGGAGGTAAAAAAAAGTTGGTTTTGTTGCCTTTATAAAGCAGTAAAGTGATTCTTTGGCACACTACAAATGAGTTGTTTAATTATAGTTACTTTCAACCATAGTTTATTGCAGGGGTCCCCAAACTTTTTGAACAGAGGGCCGGGTCACAGTCCCTCAAACTGTTGGAGGGCCGGATTATAATTTGAAAAAAAAAACATGAATGAATTCCTATCCAACCTCAAATATCTTATTTGTACTGCAAAAAACACTTTAAATAATACAATAATTAAAATGAAGAACTATTTTAACAAATATAAACTTAGCAGTTTAGAATAAATATAAACCCAGCAGTTTGAAAACATGCAAATGTAAGTAGATCAATAGATACCGCTCCGGCAGGAAGGTAACGGCGCTCCATGCAGTCATGCTGGCCACATGACCTTGGAGGTGTCTATGGACAACACCTGCTCTTCAGCTTAGAAATGGAGATGAGCAGCAGAGTCCCAGAGTCGGAAATGACTGGATTTAAGGCCTCCCCCCCCCCTCCTTCCTCAGGGATGCATCCAAGATGCATCCCGGAGGGAGGAGAGGCTGGGCCCACGGAGGCGACAGGCAAAGCAGGCCCGGCTTGGGCTTGCTTTGCCTGTCGTCTCCCCCACCCCTCTCCTTCCTCGGGGATGCATCCAAGATGCATCCCGGAGGGAGGAGAGGCTGGGCCCACGGAGGTGACTGGCAAAGCAGGCCCAAGCCGCTTTGCCCGCCGCCTCCCCCCCTTCGCCCCCCTTTCACCCTGCTCCACAGCCCGCGGGCCGGATAGATGCCCTCGGAGGGCTGGATCCGGCCCGCGGGCCGTAGTTTGGGGACCCCTGGTTTATTGTGGTTGGGTTGTTGTAGGTTTTTTCGGGCTATATGGCCATGTTCTAGAAGCATTCTCTCCTGACGTTTCACCTGCATCTATGGCAGGCATCCTCAGAGGTTGTGGTTTTCAGCAGGAGGGAATGCTTCTAGAACATGGCCATATAGCCCGAAAAAACCTACAACAACCCAGCGATTCCAGCCATGAAAGCCTTCGACAGTACATTTATTGTGTTGTTTAATCCTGGTTAAGATCACAAGAATATCATGATTTGGTTACCAAACTAAGCCTTGATCTAGGAAGGCTTAGTTTGATAGTAACAATAGTGAGAGTTTGGCTAGATCTAATGCAGTTCAATGCTATTAAAATGCATTATACAGATATTCCAAACTGAATAATAATAATAATAATAATAAGAGTAAAGGTGGGGGTGGTGCTCATTTCCATTTCTAAGCCAAAGAACCGACGTTGACCGTAAATGTCTCCAAGTTCACGTAGCCAGCATGACTGCATGGAGCGTCATTACCATACCGTCAAAGCGGTTCCTATTATCTACTTACATTTGCATGCTTTTGAACTGCTAGGTTGACAGAAGCTGGGGCTAACAGTGGGAGCTCAACCTGCTCCCCAGATTCGAGCCACTGACCTTTCGGTCAGTAAGTCCAGCACCTCAGCGGTTTTACCCGCTGTGCCACCAAGGGCTCAATAATAATAATAATAATAATAATAATAATAATAATAATAATACATTTTATATTCCGCTCTATCTTCTGATAGGGATTCAGAGCAGATTACAGTATACACATATATAGGAAAACATTCAATGCCTTTTATACAGTGAACAATGACATACAATGCACAAAAAAGGCAAAGGTTTATCTTTCCATCTCCAGTGTCTGGGGATGTTGCTCAACTCTGGCCATGGGGAGGTGCTCTTGTTCCATTTTTCCATGCTGAGGAGCCTATTGTCCATATACCCTCCTGGTTGTGTTGCCATCATGGCTGCATGGGTGCCTTTTACCTTCCCGCCAAAGGCACCCTTGTAGCTTTGCTGGCAACATGATCTACTCACATGACATGTTTTCAAACTGCTAGGTTGGCAGAAGCTAGGGCTAACAGTGGGAGCTTACCCCGACCTGTGGCTTCAAACTGTCAACCTTTCGGTCAGCAGTTTTTCTGCAGCTAGCGATTTAACTCGCTGTGCTACTGCGGCCCCACAATATATGATATACAGCAGTATATATCCATCCATGCTTAGAGAAAGGCTCTTTGGGTAAGGAAACTGCTTGCCTCTATATCTTTGTTTTGGTCACTTCTAAGGTATACTTTGATGGGATATTAAACCATGGTTAAAGAAAACAAACCATGATTAAGCATGATTCTCTCTGTCATCCTTTCCACAATTTCGCACTTTCCTTAGTATTTGAAGGAAAAGAAAACAAACTATGAAACTACCTTGGCATTATTGTTGTTCTTCTTATCTTTCAGATTCCTGAAATCAGGAGGGAAAGTAATTGATTCCGTTACCTGGCATCAGTAAGTACCAAATCCAGCAACATGTTCCTTATTCAATCGTTATAGTTGCACACAATGTGTACAGGCATACTAAACCCATGCATTATGTTTTGTAATCCAAAGCATGAAAAAGTTACTTTTCAAAGAATTATTGTTTATGTAAGAAATTACAATATACCAACTATAAATAAATTTGTCCATCAGACATATCTAGTTATTTAATAAAGGTACTGTAGCACTGAAAAACACACAGTTTTTCCATATATGGGATATTTTAATTCATGCCGCCAATCATTTCTCCTGTAAAAAAGTCGTTTCAAAAATTACAAGCAAAAATAACTTTTTCACGCTATACAATTATAGCACTTTGACATCACCTTAACTGCCATGGCTACATCCTATGGAACACTAGGATTTGAAGTTTAGAGAGGGACTAAATCTCCACTGTAGATTGCAAACACCTTCCATAACTACAAGATGCCAGTTTCACACCATATAGTGTGAAAGTGAACCAAGAACTTCTAAATCATAGCGTTTTTCCTTTTGGTAGTGTCATTATGCTAACAGGAATCCATCCAGAATGCTCTTCAAAGGGAGTCTTCCAGAAAAATTTCTCAGGTCTGAAAACATACTTGAGAACTAATACAGTTTGAATAGTAGAATTAAAACAATTTGACACCATTTTAACTGCTATGGCTCTATGCTATGGGATCCTGCGAGTTGTCGCGTTATAGGTTCTTTAGCTTTCACTGCTAAAGAGTGCAGGTGCATCACCAAATTACAAATCCCAGATTTCCATAGCATTGAGCTATGGCAGTTAAAGCAGTTCCAGACCATACTGAGTCTACAGAGTCTACAGAGTTGATGCGACTCCTCTGCTATCACCACTGCAAAAGCATAAGGGAAGCATAGGGAATCTGATGAAGAAACACAATCTCCAAACTATCTACAGACCCAGAACAGAGGAATTCCAGACAAGAAACAATCAGGGCCAGCTAATCACCTCCCAATAAAGGATTCCCTCCAGGCAGTAAGAAGCCAGAATTTGAAACTACTAGGCCATTAAATGCTAATCAAGTTGGCCAATTGAAACATTCACATCTACCTCAAACTGACAAGAGTTCTTTCTCCCAACCTGGACGTTCAACACAGGGACGGCTCAACCCATTACGCAAAGTAAGCATTTGCAGTATAGTTTATTTTGCCCAGGGGCGCTCTTGAGGCGCTCTTGGGGGAAAATAGACCTTGACGTATGCGAGTTGTAGTTACTGGGATGTATAGTTCACCTACAATCAAAGAGCATTCTGAACTCCACCAATGATGGAATTGAACCAAATATGGCACACAGAACTCCCACGACGAACAGAAAATATATATCAGTGATTGGTTGGGGGGGGGGGGGCAAAATACTGTTTGCTTACCGTTGAAAATTACTTAGGGCCGCCTCTGGTTCCACAGATATATAAACTTCACTTGCTTAGTTTCTAACAGATCTCACAACCTCTAAGGATGCCTGCCATAGATGTGGGCAAAACGTCTGGAGAGAATGCTTCTGGAACATGGCCATATAGCCCGGAAAACTCACAGCAACGCATAAGGGAAAAGCCAGTTGTGATGTAAATTTCAATGACAAACAATAGAAATAGCATTTCAGGAAAGCTGGAACAAGTTGTAATAAGTTCAGGGAACTCCTTTGTAGAATCCTATAACTAAACATGCTTAGAGGACAAATTGCTTTAGTGTCTCCTTCTCTGGACATCTTCAAAAAGAGGTTGGACAGCTACCTGCTGGAGGCCTTGCACTGACCATGATACTATGCCTCCTTGTTGTGTGAGAACCCACACAAAGTTTATTGATGTTTGTATTGTTTTGTTTTCAGTTACTATTTAAATGGACGAACTGCTACCCGAGAGGATTTTATGAGTCCGGATGTGCTAGATACATTCATCACAGCTGTACAGGAAGAACTCCAGGTATTTAAAAATTGTTTACCTGCTTACAAATATTTATAAACTACTTGACTGCAAAGTAGTGTGCAACAATGATAGAAACATAAACAGTAGATAGTATTAAAACATTGTGTTAATCTGGCAGCCAATTAAAACATGGTAGTTAAACCAAGTCTTTGGAGGTGTGGTTGATTTAATCCAAACTGGAACATGAAAGGGTTTTAACTGCTGTTAATCTTTATTAAATGATTTAATATGTCTTTATCATCATAGTTTTACATTGTTTTAAATGGTTTCAATTAATTTTATAGTATGCTGCCCTGAATTCTTCAGATATAGGGTGAGATATAATTATTTTAATTGCAGTATAACCTGAACTTACTGTGGAAACAGTAAAGCATGGACCCCGCAGTCTGGGGGTCCTTCTCGATTCCGCTCTGACTCTTGATGCTCAGGTGCCGGGAGGTCCTTTGCACAATTAAAGCTTGTGCACCAGCTGCGCCCATACCTTGTGAAGTCCAACTTGGTCCACACTCTAGTTATCTCCAGATTGGATTATTGCAGTTCACTCTACATGGGGCTGCCCTTGAAGACAGCCCAAAAATTGCAATTGGTGCAAAGATTGGCGGCCAGATTACTAACTGGAGCAAGCTAGAGGGAGTGGAACCCCCCTCCCCCCACTCCCCTGTTCAAACAGCTCCACTGGCTGACAATGAGTTTCCAGTCCCAATTCAAGGTGCAGGTGATTACCTACAAAGCCCTAAACGGTTCAGGATCTGTCTATCCTTGCCATCGCATCTTCCCCTATGAACCAACACGAGCCCTAAGATCATCTGGGAAGGCCCTTCTCTCACTTCCACCTCTGTCTCAGGTGCAGTTGGTGGGGATGAGGGAAAGGGCCTTTTTGGTGGTGGCATCACGGCTCTGGAACACTCTTCCTAGGGAGATCAGACTGGCACCTACCCTGTCCACCTTCCTCAAGAACTTAAAAACATGGATTTTCTGCTGTACCTTTCACAAGGCAGTTCCAAAGAATTGGCCTAATGTTACCGAAGTTCCAGCACTTTAGCAAAGCCTCCACTCTACAATCCTGACATTTTAATGCTCATGAACATTATCCTCCTAGCCCTGCCTTTCTGAATTTTGCATTTTCCCTTAGCTCTGTCTAGAACTTGCACAATCCCAAAGCCCGCTGAAATCAGCACTTTTATCGTTCTGTGTGGTACTGTTTTTATGATGTTATGTTTTATTGTGATATGGTTTTATTTGGTTTTGTTTCGATGCTAGCTTATTGTGTTATGTTTTTAACTTTGTGCTCTCTGGGCTTGTCCCTTTGTAAGCCGCCCCAAGTTCCTTAGGGGAGATGGAGGCAGGTTATAAAAATAGTTATTATTATTATTATTATTATTATTATTATTATTACTATTATTATTACTATTATTATTATTATTAGGGAATAATAATAAATAATAATAATAAACTTTATTTATACCCCGCCACCATCTCCCCAAGGGGACTCAGGGCGGCTTACATGAGGCCAAGCCCAGCAAAACAGTAAAACAATATACAACAAAACACAGAAAAAATAAAATAAAATAAAATACAAACCCATTTTAAAATACATCAACAATATAAAATTACAACATTTAAAACACAGAAATTGATCACATTGGGCGGGCCGATTTCAATAGATTAAAAATTTAAAACACTGGTGAGACAGCAGTATAATGTGTTTGGACAGGGGATTCGAGAGGTAGAGTAGGGTGTGATCGCACTAGCAGGTAAAATAAAGTGCTACCAAGGGCCTTTTTACATAGGTAGGTCATGTCAGGATATTACTGTAGGGAACCCTACTGAAATGAACAACTTTCTCCAGATGTTACCATAAAATTATAAAATTATTCTGAAAGTTCTAAAAAATTCCTAGAGGTACCCTCTGCAGGAATCTACTAGCTCTTCCAGGGCAACTCTGTGATAACTTACAATGGAAACATAACTATAGAAGCACCTGGAAGACATGTCCCACAGATACAGAGGATACATTGTAATAGTAAATAATAATACTACAAAATGCAAATTCATTATGATGGTAAATTGGAATATACAGGCAAAAACATACCGAGCCAACTGTCATGAAGGGCCCTTGATTGGACTAGGAGAATGTTCCAACTTTGTTTGCTGACTCTCTCTTTTCTGCTTCAATTTCACAACATTTTCCAGCTTGTTGATGACACAGTGCCAGGGAAGAGTGTGTGGCTGGGAGAAACAAGTTCAGCTTATGGAGGTGGTGCTCCCCAGCTCTCCAATACATATCTTGCTGGCTTCATGTGAGTATTATAATATTTGTTTGCAAAGAACTGAACTTGAATTCTGTGGAATATTATTATCTTAACCTGACAATCTTAGGCAGCACATGAGCAGCTCTTCCCTTGACCAAACAGAAGGAGCCACCATTTATGTAGACTAATGGTTCCCAAACTTTGGTCCTACAGATGTGTTGGACTTCAACTCCCACAGTTCCTAACAGCTGGTAAACTGGTTGGGATTTCTGGGAATTGAAGTCCAAAACACCTGGATGACCAAGGGTTGGGAACCACTGATGTAGACTTTTACCATTTATGTAGACTAAAATACCACACCCTGTTGTCTAGAAGAGATTTGAGTATTGTTTGAATTAAGTTCATCTGTGTTTTTCTCCTATTTTATTTGGCAGGTGGTTAGATAAGCTAGGACTGTCTGCCCGGCTGGGCATTGATGTGGTAATGAGACAGGTGTTATTTGGAGCAGGAAGCTATCATCTGGTGAATGCCAGCTTTGAACCTTTGCCTGTAAGTACACTATGACAATGTGATTTATCTATCCAAACAGGGGAGCTCTTGCCCAAACATGAAGATCTTGCCAGGCCTGGCCTCAACATATTAACTTAAAGCACCAACTCTGAACTTGGTTCCTTCCAATGCCTCAGCAGAAGGATCAGTTATGTCCAAGCTATGTCTTATCTATTAATGGGATGGATTTAAAATGTTTTTGTGTTTTGCTGTCATTATTCTTCCATCCAAAGAAGAATATTCTTCCATCACCCACTTTGCACAGTATTCCTTGGTCTAACTCGCTGCATTATCGTGAAACACACCAACCTCTCTAAAGACTCTGGGTATGAGTCAAAGGAATGACTTGCAAAAACAAAACTTATCTAATTTGTGGCACTCCCAAAGTCAATAGCCACAAAACCTAAACAAGGAAAGCAAAGCAAGCAAGGAAATAAATAAAACTAAGCATATGCGTACATGTTTTTCCCTGCCAGGGCCCCATAGCTTAGTGGTAAAGGTCATTATTTTCATGCAAAAGAACCCAGGTTCAGTTAAAGTTGGGAAAGAAGCAAAATCTGAAAACATGAAGAACTGTTGCCAGGCTGTAAGTAGTATACAGGTTGAAAACCACTGACCTAAACATTCCTAAAGAAAACTCTTTTTCTAGATCCTCCAGTGTCATAATATGGTAGAAGCTGATAACAGAAGTATCCTAGAAAGGTTTTAAAAAGTGTTGATTTTATTTGTGTTTTTTTCCAATCTGTGGAAAGGTGGAAGGCCTATTGTACTGATCTGATCTGATCTGTTTTCTGACTCTAAGACATATTCCTTATAAGAGCCAAAAAACTGCATAAGCATTCATAGACTAGTGGAAACCATATTGATGAATAACAGTGATATCACAGGCACTTACCCAACAGTATTTGTAATTGTCTTTAAATTGCAATATAGATTGCAATACAGTCTGGAGAAAATACTGTAGTTTCCCATGGAACACTGGCCAAATAGGAGCCCCCGGAGGCGCAATGGGTTAAACCCTTGTGCCGGCAGGACTGAAGATCAACAGGTCTGAGGTTTGAATCTGGGGAGACTATGGATGAGTTTCCTCTGTCAGCTCCAGCTCCCCATGCAGGGGCATGAGAGAAGCCTCCCACAAGGATGGTAAAAACATCAAGCCATTCAGGCATCTCTTGGGCGATGTCCTTGCAGATGGCCAATTCTCTCACACCAGAAGAGACTTGTGATGTATCAAGTCGCTCCTGAGATGGAGCGAATATAATTTTCTTATCACCAAAATTCCTTGCCAGTTTTCTATCAGCATGGTTCGGCAGAAAATAGTTCTAGCCGTGCTGTTAAACCTTGAAGTAATTTGCATTAAAGTGCTACATTCCCAGACATTCAATAGTAGTGCAACAGAATTACTAACCCTTCTCTCAGTTATATCACTAAAGTGAAGAAAAGTGGACATAACAAGAGTGGATTTTCTTTTGGGAAGACAGTGAACACCAATTTGAATACTCAAAAATAATGTCTGGGGCTCTGAATCTTCATTTCTTAAATACCTGTCTTCTGCATTATACTGTAAATTTTGAATACTGAGATGCTACGTGGGGAAAAATAACTTAGTTCTTGTAAAACCGAAGTTTGTTTCCTCCCAGGTGATAGTGGCACCCACATTAGTGGGATTGTGAATCTGCTCCAGGTTTTAACGTGTGCCTTAAAAGGAGCTCTCCAATGTTTTCAGCACTTTGGACAGCTCCTTTGCCATTTACCAACAACTGAAATGGACTCACTTCCTCACTGAAATGGAATCCATTACTGCTCCCAAGGCTCGAAAAAATAACAGTCTCCAAATCCCCACAGAGCAACTCTTACGACAAAGCATATTGTATTGTTTTAAGATAATTGTTCATCTGCTCAAGTCACATGCATCTTTAAAGTACATCTCTTGTTTATTCATTCAGTTGTGGATAATATGTCTGCCTCTTTTTAATGCCATTTAGGATTATTGGCTTTCTTTGGTGTATAAGAAACTGGTGGGCCCCAAAGTTCTGCATGTGAACATTACTGGCGAAGATCTGAGGAAGCTTCGAGTGTATCTTCACTGCACCAATGAGCATCAGTAAGTCTCAAGGGCAATATGCAGCAGGCTCAGAAAGCATTGAAATAGTAGTGGTCCAGTTTTGAAATGTCATGTGTTGCAGTGCAGATACAAGTACCATGAAGTAACCCTAATAAACCAATTAAGGGTGAATCTACATTGTGGAATTAATGCAGTTTGAAAACCATTTAAAATGCCGTGGCTCAATACTATGGAATCATGGGGCTGTAGTTTGGTAAGATATCATCACTCTTTGGTACAGAAGGCTTAAGATCCTTCAAACCTTGTCAAATGAAGGGATAGAGGCAGGATGAAGCAGGGGCAATGAAGCCATTGAAGCCATACTGCCCTCCCCCAGTTCTCTGACCAAGAAGAGTAAATATCTCACAAAACTACACATTCCAGAATCCTGTACCATTGTGCCCTTCCAGTTAAAGTGGGGTCTAACAGCTATAATTTTACAGTGTGGCTATAGCCTTGGTTCCCAAGTATAGTTTTTAAGACTGAATGGTGGCCTTTCATTTATTAAACCAGTCTTATCCAACCTTATGGGAGCGCCCAGTGGTGCAATGGGTTAAACCCTTGTGTTGGCAGGACTGAAGACCAACAGGTCAGAGGTTCAAGTCTGGGGAGAGTGGGTTGAGCTCCCTCTGGCAGCTCCAGCTCCCCATGTGGAGATATGAGAGAAGCCTCTCACAAGGATGGTAAAACATCAAAACATCTGGGTGACGACTGGGCAACGTCCTTGCAAATGGCCAATTCTCTCACACCAGAAGCAACTTGCAGTTTCTCAAGTCACTCCTGACATGAAAAGAAAATCCAACTTTATAACCTTCAGATCTATTAGACTGAAACTCCCAACATCCCCAGTCACTATTTATATATAAGTAAATTTCTCAAGCCTGAATCTAATATTTGTACTTAAATTGGCTTCCTGTTTTTGACTGTTTTAATTAGGGTTTTCTTTCTATTTTTTTCTTCTCTTCTAGCCCAAAATACAGAGATGGAGACGTGACGTTATTTGCCTTAAACCTCAATAACCGCACCAAACGTTTGCTGTTACCCAATTACTTCGCCAACAAGCAGATTGATGAATATCTTCTACTTCCTCATGGAAACAGCCTACTTTCCACGTGAGTAGTCCTGCCTATCTTCTCAAGAGTGGGCAAATACCAGAGTTTGGGGGAGAAGGAGACTTCCATAACGCTCACGTCCATTTTCTTTGGGAGAAATGGTCCAAAATTCAGCTTTGGAACAGTTTGCCCACAGTATTACCTCCAACATTTCACAGATGTGGCTAAGCAACCATAGGGTGAAAAGGGAAAATTATTGAGGAAAAATAAACAAATTAGATGAGACCGCAGCAGTTTGCTTTTATTCAAGCCCACTGGAAAGTGCAAGATTCCAACTTCCCCTCTTTCCCTGCTAAGTTACATTTATTCTTTGGACTTAAGTTTGCAATAGCTGAAATAACTTAAGAGGAAATAAACAGGGGAAGCAGGGAGGAGTGTTCCAGTACCAAGACAGGAGATATCCGAGATCCACTGGATCTAAGGCCTTTGCTTAAGAGACATGATATGGTGAAGTGGTTAAAGCCTTGGCATGGAACTGAGGAGATCCAAATTCTGTTCCCTAATGAGTTATGAATCTCACTAAGGGCTTTTCCACACTAAAGAATTGTATTACTGTGATTCCATTTTAACTCCATCCTATGGAACCACAGGATTTGCAGTTTGTTGTTCATTCGTTCAGTTGTCTCCGACTCTTCGTGACCTCATGGACCAGCCCACGCCAGAGCTCCCTGTCGGCCGTTACCACCCCCAGCTCCCTCAAGGTTAGTCCAGTCACTTCAAGGATGCCATCCATCCATCTTGCCCTTGGTCGGCCCCTCTTCCTTTTGCCTTCCACTTTCCCCAGCATAATTGTCTTCTCTAGGCTTTCCTGTCTCCTCATGATGTGGCCAAAGTACTTCAACTTTGTCTCCAGTATCCTTCCCTCCAGTGAGCAGTCGGGCTTTATTTCCTGGAGGATGGACTGGTTGGATCTTCTCGCAGTCCAAGGCACTCTCAGAACTTTCCTCCAACACCACAGTTCAAAAGCATCTATCTTCCTTCGCTCAGCCTTCCCTAAGGTCCAGCTCTCACATCCCTAGGTTACTACAGGGAATACCATGGCTTTGACTAGGCGGATCTTTGTTGCCAGTCTGATGTCTCTACTCTTTACTATTTTATCGAGATTGGACATTGCTCTCCTCCCAAGCAGTAAGCGTCTTCTGATTTCCTGGCTACAGTCTGCATCTGCAGTAATCTTTGCACCTAGAAATACAAAGTCTGTCACGGCCTCCACGGTTTCTCCCTCTATTTTCCAGTTGTCAATCATTCTTGTTGCCCTAATCTTGGTTTTTTTGACGTTTAGCTGCAACCCGGCTTTTGCGCTTTCTTCTTTTACCTTGATTAGAAGGCTCCTCAGCTCCTCCTCGCTTTCGGCCATCAGAGTGGTGTCATCTGCATATCTGAGGTTGTTAATGTTTCTTCCAGCAATTTTCACCCCAGCCTTGCATTCATCAAGCCCCGCACATCGCATGATGTGTTCTGCATACAAGTTAAAAAGGTTGGGTGAGAGTATGCAGCCTTGCCGTACGCCTTTCCCAATCTTGAACCAGTCTGTTGTTCCGTGGTCAGTTCTGACTGTTGCTACTTGGTCCTGGTACAGATTCCTCAGGAGAGAGACAAGGTGGCTTGGGATGCCCATCCCACCAAGAACTTGCCACAATTTATTATGATCCACACAGTCAAAGGCTTTAGAATAGTAAATGAAGCAGAAGTAGATGTTTTTCTGAAACTCCCTGCCTTTCTCCATTATCCAGCGGATATTGGCAATTTGGTCTCTCGTTCCTCTGCCTTTTCTAAACCCAGCTTGTACATCTGGCAACTCTCACTCCATGTATAGATGGAGTCTTCCTTGCAGGATCTTGAGCATCACCTTACTGGCATGAGAAATAAGGGCCACTGTACGAAAGTTTGAGCAGTCTTTCGCATTTCCCTTTTTTGGTATGGGGATATAAGTTGATTTTTTCCAGTCTGATGGCCATTCTTGTGTTTTCCATATTTGCTGGCAAATGGCATGCATCACCTTGACAGCATCATCTTTTAAGATTTTAAACAGTTGCAGTTTAGGGAAGACTTTTTTAGAATTCTAAGTCAGAGATCGCTAGTATCTCCCCAAACTACAAACCCCAGCCATTGCAACTGAAATGGAATCATAGTCCTATTAAGTGTGTATTATGCATCAGGAGAGAGGGGAAAATGGGGCAGAATCTTGCCCTTCACACAAAGGTAAACTGCAATAACAACTTCTAGCTTGTGCGTTCTTCCTTATTAGCCTTCTGGACTAGTCTCTGATGTTGTTTTGCCACATGGGTCTTGGTGTTTTACTGTGAAATCTTGAGGATATGAAATATAACCATCTCTCCAGATTTGTAGTTTTGACTTTTTGTTGATTTGATTATTCACAGATTTGATTCAAAATGTTCTCTCTAGGCATCTCTAGGCCTTCCAGTGTGATGCTATGGTCAACTTCCTTCACTCATGGTGGAAGGACCAAGAGATTTCTAGAGAGAACAGTTCTCTAGGAATATCTAGGTCAGCAATGGGCAAACTTCGGCCCTCCAGGTGTTTTGGACTTCAACCCCCACAAGTCCTAACAGCCTGGAGGGCCAAAATTTGCCCATGCCTGATCTAGGTGCTCCAATGTGATTCTAAGGTGGCGCAATGGGTTAAACTCTTGTGCTGGCTGAACTGCTGACTTGAAGGTTGGTGGTTCGAATCCGTGAGATGGGGTGAACTCCTGTCTGTCAGCTCTAGCTTCTCATGAGAGAAGCTTCCCACAGGCATCCCTGGCAACGTCGCTGCTGATGGCCAATTCTCTCACACCAGAAGCAACTTGCTGTTTCTCAAGTCGTTTCTGACACAATTTAAAAAATGTGATTCTAGCTTCCAGTGGAAGTAGACCATTAAGTCATGCTGGAAGATCTAGAAATTCCTAGAGAAGTGTTCTCTCGGGTTTAAAAAATTGTTATTTCTTTGAGTTGTTTTTACTTTCATGGGGATCTTGTGCCCCTAACCCCAGAGAATGTGGAGACCTGACTATAGGTCATTATAGTTGCCAAAAAAGACCAGGTGTACCCTTCTGTTTATGGTGTACTGTTTTGTGATTCCATGCTTTTTCTTATCTAGGTTTGTTGTGTCTAATTGCCCTTTCTTCCCCTGCAGGTCTATTCAGCTGAACGGCCATCTCCTAAAACTAGTGGGCGACGAAACGTTGCCATCTCTCATTGAGAAGCCTCTCAGTCCAGGGAGCAAACTTGGGCTCCCGGCTTTTTCCTATGGATTTTACGTCATAAGAAATGCCAAAGCCAGGGCTTGCATTTAGCAAGACTAGTTGGAAGGCCACAGCCGTGTCAGACTTTTGATGTTTCCAAATATTTTGATACCAAGGAAGAAACCCAAGTGTGTCAAAAGAGAAGGGCATTATCTGGAGCTTGCTGTTTAAAAGTTTTTTTCTATCTTTCTGCAAGAATTGCTCAAGCACTTTGTTTCAACCGTGGTTGTGCCAAAAATGGACCTACTCCACTAGGGATTCCCCCCACTGAACTACGAATCATATGGGAAGGAACAGTCCTTTCTCTCTGCCTGACCTACCTCACAGGGGTGTTGTGTGGATAAAGTGGGAATCAGAAGACTTGATGCTTTGGGCTCATTGGAGGAAAAGTGAAATATAAGTGTAGCAAATAATCAAGAGATGCCTGGCAATATAATGCTGAGTATAAGTAGGCAACCGGGTAAAGCATCAAGTCAAAGACATTTAAAAGCTACAGCGTGTGACCACATGACTTTAAGGCACAAGGGTTATTGCAAAAGGCCTATTTATGTAGGAGGTTCCTTCTGCTTTCTTATAATGCTAGAAAGGCAGAGCTCAACATAGCAGCTCAGTTGGTCTCAGGGTATTCATGAGGAAGTGGATTTAATTTCATAGCCTCTTCTAGAAATTGGTTTTCTCCGGCAATAGCAGCTTTTTGCTGCCACCTCTGGCACATTCACATGGCTGCATGCAAAGGCTTTCATGGCCGGAATCATTGGGTTGCTGTGAGTTTTCCAGGCTGTAAGTCAGGAGAGAATGCTTCTGGAACATGGCCATACAGCCCGGAAAACTCACAGCAACCCAAAGTAGACAGTGTTTCTTCCCTCTCTAAGCTGGGAGGGCTAGGGAATACTCATGTCTAAGCATGCAGCTACATTGTAGACTTGATGCAGTTTGACAGCACTTTAACTATCACAACTCAGGGCTATGTAATAACAGAAGCTGCAGTTTGACAAGATGTTGAACTTTTTCTACCAAAGAGTGCTGGTACATTACAAATTAGATATCCCATGATTCCATGGAACTGAGCCACAGCATTTAAAGTGATGTCAAAATGCATTCATTCTAAGGTGTAGGTGCACCCTAAAACACCGAGCAGTGCAAAATGACTTTCCTCAACCTAGTGCTCTTCCTCAATGTGCATCTCCCACCATCCCCAGACCAGAGGCTAACTGGGATGATGGAGACTGCAGTTCACACATCACAGGCCATCATACCGAAGAAGGCAGAATGGGCTAAAGGTCTTATTCAACTATTAAGGCAGCTTTGGAGGTTCCTAGATTTTGGTAGCAAACCTGCTAAAAGGCAGTCTCAGACAATCCTTATTTTTACTATGCTTTGATGTGTGTTGTTATACAATTGGAGGGGGTATGCATTTGCACATGTTGAAATAAACTGTTTTATAATAACACTGGCTATTGAGATATTGATTTTGTTGAGCTTTGGTTTGGGTCTGATAAGAATGCTAAAGATGCTTATTGAAAAGCTGAGAACCAAAATGTTCTCTATCTATCTACAGCATTCACAATCTGCTGGATTACACATCCCATCATCCTAGGCAACACAGCTGCCTGGGATGGGGATTGAATTGCAAGACAACAGGGAAGAGGGCCAAGATGTGGAAAAGTATTATAGCTAGGTATTTTCTCAAAAGTTGCTTAAGGATCCACTGCTATGTCCATTTGTCCAGTGGGCCTGTTCTAGCTTGGATTAACAAATGGCTTTAATTCCAAAGTTCGTCTAATGCAGACCTGTTTCGAGAGGTGATCATCCATATGTCTCTAGGGACTCCCAAGGATAAAATCCTGAATACTGAATAGTGTTCAGATTACTATCTTTGAATATGGAGGCATCATTTAGCCTGAAAAAGCAAGCATGTTGAGGATGCCAAATGCATTTATTATATATACAATGGGTTTTATATATGGGACCTGTATCCATTATTTCATCTATGTCCAATAACGCTGTGTAACAAAATTTGGAAAAAAATGAGTTCTTGTTTTGAAAGTGCTATTTTCTGTTTAATTGTGCGGTACTTACTTTTAAAGTAGTTGTTCTACTATAGAAAATTAACTTTGTGGCTGCCACAATCTGGGTTGAATTGGTTGAAACTCCATGACAGTGTTTCTCAACCTAGGGGTAACGCTTTTGGCAGAGAAGGCTGAAGATCTCTCCACCTGTCCTTCTTTTCCTTTTTGGTGTTAGTGAACTACAACACCCAGAATTCAAAATGCCCAGTGTTCAATATTGGCCATGTAGGTAGTGTGCCAAGTTTGGTGTACATCCATTGTGGGCTGGGTTCAGAGTGCTCTTTGATTGTAGATTAAATATAAATCCCAGCAACCATAACTCCCAAATATCAAGGTCTATTTCCCCAAACTCCACCAGTATTCAAGTTTGGCCCAGATCCATCATTGTTTGAGTCCACAGTGCTCTCTGGATGTCAGTGAACTACAACTCCAAAACTCCAGGTCAATGCCCACCAAATCCTTCTAGTATTTTCTGTTGGTCATGGGATTTCTGTATGCCAAATTTGGTTCAATTCTATCATTGGTGGAGTTCAGAATGCTCTTTGATTGTAGGTGAACTATATAAATCCCGGCAACTACAACTCCCAAATGACAACATCAATTTTCTTTGAGTGATGGTCGCTCCTTGGGTTAGTAGGTGTCTTGCGGCCAAATTTGGTGTCAATTTGTCCATTGGTTTTTGAGTTATGTTAATCCTACAAACGAACATTACATTTTTATTTATATAGAGTAGCTGTTCCCTGCCACGCGTTGCTGTGCCCCACATGGGGGTTTTGTGTGGGAGGTTTGGCCCAATTGGTGGGGTTCACAATGCTCTGTGATTGTAGGTGAACTATAAATCCCAGCAACTACAACTCCCAAATGTCAAGGTCTATTTTCCCCAAACTCCACCAGTGTTCACATTTGGGCACATTGAGTATTGGTGTAGAGTTTGGTCCAGATCCATCATTGTTTGAGTCCAAAGTGATCTCTGGATATAGATGAACTACAACTCCAAAAGCAAAGGCCACTGCCCACCAAACCCTTCCAGTATTTTCTTTTGGACATGGGAGAACTGTGTGCCAAGTTTGGTTCAATTCCATCGTCGGTGGGGTTCACAATGCTCTGTGATTGTAGGTGAACTATAAATCCCAGCAACTACAACTTCCAAATGACAAAATCGATTTTTTTTTTAGCGAAGGACATACATTGGGTTGTTAGGTGTATCGTGTCCAAATTCGGTGCCTATTGCCCCAGTGGTTTTTGAGTTCTATGAATACCACAAACGAACATTACATTTTTATTTATATAGATAAATATATAATATTAAATATTATATAATATATTGTACTATATCATAAGTTGTAGTATATATATAATATTATTAATATTGTATTTGTATTACGTCAGGGGAATGTTAGGGGAAAACCTTTACCTTTACCTTTTATTATTACATTACAATGTTATTATTAAACATATTAAATATTGTTGTTGTTGTTCATTCGTTCAGTCATCTCCGACTCTTCGTGACCTCATGGACCAGCCCACACCAGAGCTCCCTGTCGGCCGTCACCACCCCCAGCTCCTTCAAGGTCAGTCCAGTCACTTCAAGGATGCCATCCATCCATCTTGCCCTTGGTCGGCCCCTCTTCCTTTTGCCTTCCACTTTCCCCAGCATAATTGTCTTCTCTAGGCTTTCCTGTCTCCTCATGATGTGGCCAAAGTACTTCAACTTTGTCTCTAGTATCTTTCCCTCCAGTGAGCAGTCGGGCTTTATTTCCTGGAGGATGGACTGGTTGGATCTTCTCGCAGTCCAAGGCACTCTCAGAACTTTCCTCCAACACTACAGCCCAAAAGCATCGATCTTCCTTCGCTCAGCCTTCCCTAAGGTCCAGCTCTCACATCCGTAGGTTACTACAGGGAATACCATGGCTTTGACTAGGTGGATCTTTGTTGTCAGTCTGATGTCTCTATTCTTTCCTATTTTATCGAGACTGGACATTGCTCTCCTCCCAAGGAGGAAGCGTCTTCTGATTTCCTGGCCACAGTCTGCATCTGCAGTAATCTTTGCGCCTAGAAATACAAAATCTGTCACGGCCTCCACATTTTCTCCCTCTATTTTCCAGTTGTCAATCATTCTTGTTGCCATAATCTTGGTTTTTTTGACGTTTAGCTGCAACCCAGCTTTTGCGCTTTCTTCTTTCACCTTGATTCGAAGGCTCCTCAGCTCCTCCTCGCTTTCGGCCATCAGAGTGGTGTCATCTGCATATCTGAGGTTGTTATGTTTCTTCCAGCAATTTTCACCCTGCCCTTGCATTCATCAAGCCTTGCACATCGCATGATGTGTTCTGCATACAAGTTGAATAGGTTGGGTGAGAGTATACCCTTGCCGTACGCCTTTCCCAATCCTGAACCAGTCTGTTGTTCCGTGGTCAGTTCTGACTGTTGCTACTTGGTCCTTGTACAGATTCCTCGGGAGAGACAAGGTGGCTTGGGATGCCCATCCCACCAAGAACTTGCCACAATTTATTATGATCCACACAGTCAAAGGCTTTAGAATAGTCAATGAAGCAGAAGTAGATGTTTTTCTGAAACTCCCTGCCTTTCTCCATTATCCAGCGGATATTGGGAATAGCCCGATCTTAGGAAGTAATGCTACCCCTCTATTCCGCTTTGGTTAGACCACACCTGGAATATTGTGTCCAATTCTGGGCCCCACAATTGAAGAGAGATATTGACAAGCTAGAATGTGTCCAGAGGAGGGCGACTCAAATGATCAAGGGTCTGGAGAACAAGCCCTATGAGGAACGGCTTAAGGAGCTGGGCATGTTTAGCCTGAAGAAGAGAAGGCTGAGAGGAGACATGATAGCCATGTATAAATATGTGAGAGGAAGCCACAGGAGGGAGGAGGGAGCAAACTTGTTTTCTTCCTTGGAGACTAGGATGCAATGGAACAATGGCTTCAAACTACAAGAGAGGAGATTCCATCTGAACATTAGGAAGAAGGGTGGCTGCCTGTGTTGGACGGGGTTACACTCCCCCTGAAACCACAGGTCCGCAGCCTGGGAGTTCTCTTGGACTCATCGCTCACGCTTGAGGCTCAGGCATCGGCGGTGTCCGGGAGAGCTTTTGCACAACTGAGACTCGTGCACCAGCTGCGACCGTACCTCGCGAAGGCTGATCTGGCCGGGGTGGTCCATGCCTTGGTCACCTCTAGACTGGATTACTGCAATTCGCTCTACGTAGGTCTACCCTTGAAAACGGCTCGGAAATTCCAACTGGTCCAACGGGCAGCAGCCAGGATGTTAACCGGGGCTCATTACAGAGAGAGGTCAACCCTCCTGTTTAAGGAGCTCCACTGGCTCCCGTTTATTTTCCGAGCCCAATTTAAGGTGCAGGTGCTCACCTACAAAGCCCTGAACGGTTTGGGACCACCCTACCTGCGTGACCGCATCTCCATCTATGAGCCTACACGCTCACTCCGGTCATCTGGAGAGGCCCTGCTCGTGATCCCGCCTGCGTCACAAGTGCGCTTGGTGGGGACGCGAGACAGAGCCTTTTCTGTAGTGGCCCCCCGACTTTGGAATGCCCTCCCAAAAGATCTTAGACAGGCCCCCACATTGGCAGTCTTCAGGAAGAACTTGAAAACCTGGCTGTTCCGATGTGCCTTTTCAGATTAGGAACCTCAACACCAAGTCCCAGATGCACTTTAGTAGAACCACGATCACTGCACACCGCACACTGCACTTATGTTATAACCCTATATTCCTCCCGCAATATCAGCACTTTTAATCCTGTACCCACTACTCTGGCCGGCCCAGTTTTAATAATTGTCTGATGTATTGTTACTGTTTTGTTTACTTGCTTAACTGTTTTAATTTGCTTTTGTATTGTTTTGCTGTATTGTTGTTCTGTGGCTTCGGCCTGTTGTAAGCCGCATCGAGTCCTTTGGGAGATGCTAGCGGGGTACAAATAAAGTTATAATTATAATAATAATACATAATAACTTCCTGACTGTGAGAGCTGTTCAGCAGTGGAACTCTCTGCCCCGGAGTGTGGTGGAGGCTCCTTCCTTGGAAGCTGTTATGCAGAGGCTGGATGGCCATCTGTCAGGGGTGATTTGAATGCAACATTCCTGCTTCTTGGCAGAATGGGGTTGGACTGGATGGCCCATGAGGTCTCTTCCAACTCTATAATTTTATGATTCTATGATTCTATAATATTAAATATCATAATATTTCTGCAATGCCAAGTTTTTAACTTTGTGGGTTTTTTTATACATTATAACTGTATTCTCAATTTGCTTCTGACACAATCAGTCAATCAAGCTCTCCATTGGAAATGAATGGTGCACCAAATGTTTCCCGGAAGTGTTGGTACAAACTTGAGATGAGTGTTAGAACAGACCTCTATGCTCTCTTTCAATGACGACGGGGATGTGACGTCATCGTCGTGCGAGGAGAGGCTGGCCCGATCCAAGATGGCGGCTCTTCGCTGCTTTTCGCGGCTGAGAAGGTCGGTTCGTTCCCAAGGAAGCTCGGTTCGTTTCCCGCCAGCCACGCTCTGGATTTTATCCGTCCCCGATGGAGGCCACGGCCCTTTCTGTCCTCCTAAATCGAGATTGCAACCCGCCCGGACGCTTTCAGCAGCCGCTTTGGTCCGAGCGGCTCCCGGTCCCATTCAGCCCTATCTCCGCCTCATGAGGCTGGATAAGCCCATTGGTGAGTTGGCTTGTCAATCAATAGTGCTGGACCAATGAGAGTCCGTTCCGCGAGGGAGGTCTCCGCCCCCTTAGTTTTCCTCTTCTCTTTGGATGAAGAAGGAGAAACTGAATGGGAAAATTATGTGTTGCTATTATGTGTTGTCCAAGGCTTTCATGGCCGGAATCACTGGGTTGCCGTGAATTTTCCAGACTGTTTGGTCATGTTCCAGAAGCATTCTCTTCTGACATTTTGCCTACATCTATGGCAGGCATTCTAGGGAGATAATACTTATAGAACAGCTGTTCTCAACCTTCCCAATGCCGCGACCCCTTAGTACAGTTCTTCATGTTGTGGTGACCCCCAACCATAAAATTATTTTCGTTGCTTCTTCATATCTGCAATTTTGCTACTGTTATGAATTGTCATGTAAATATCTGATATGCAGGATGTATTTTCATTCAGTGGACCAAATTTGGCACAAATACCAAATACGCCCAAATTTGAATACTGGTGGGGTTGAGGGCAAATTGATTTTGTCATCTGGGAGTTGTAGTTCCTGGGATTTATAGTTCACCTACAATCGAAGAGCATTCTGAACTCCACCAACGATGGAATCGAACCATCTTGGTACACAGAACTCTCATGACCAACAGAAAATACTGGAAGGTTTTGGTGGGCATTGACCTTGAGTTTTGGAGTTGTAGTTCACCTACATCCATTCAAACAATGATGACTCTGAACCAAACTCAGCGCAATCACTCAATATGCCCACCTGCAAACACTGGTAGAGTTTGGGAAAAATGGGCCTTGTCATTTGGGAGTTGCTGTTGCTGGGATTTATAATTCACCTACAATCAAAGAGCCCCTTGAACCCAACCAATGATAGAGTTGGGCCAAACATTTCACACAGAGCCCCCATGACCAATAGAAAATACTGGAGGGATTTGGGAGGAATTGACAGTGATTTAGGGGAGATGTAGTTCACTTACCTCCAGAGAGCACTGTGTTCCAAAGACCATATGAAATATGTGTTTTCTGATGGTCTTTGGTGACCCCTCTGACACCCCCTCGCGACCCCCTCAGGGGTCCCGACCCCCAGATTGAGAAACGCTGTTCTAGAACATGGCCATGTTGTTGTTGTTCATTCATTCAGTCGTTTCCGACTCTTTGTGACCTCATGGACCAGCCCACGCCAGAGCTCCCTGTCGGCCGTCACCACCCCCAGCTCCTTCAAGGTCAGTCCAGTCACTTCAAGGATGCTATCCATTCTTGAGGATGAGCTCCCTCTATCAGCTCCAGCTCCTCATGCGGGGACATGAGAGAAGCCTCCCACAAAGATGATAAAAACATCAAATCATCCGGGCGTCCCCTGGGCAACGTCCTTGCAGACAGCCAATTCTCTCACACCAGAAGCGACTTGCAGTTTCTCAAGTCGCTCCTGACACAACAAAAAATGGATAATAAAAATGTTAGATATTAGAAACTTGGACAGGCTTACCTTCCTATTATTGAAAAGCAAAGAAATTAGAAGAAAAGAAACGGACTGAAGTCACTGAATACTTAAGAAAAAAGAAAAAAGAAATTGTGATTTGAAAAGGACAAATAAAGACTGGAACGCAATAAAAACGGAAAGAAGAATATGAAAAAATAAAGAAATATTAAAAATAAGACCATATAGAAGATTTTCGGAAAATACCAGTAGGTCAAGACTTTCTTTCCTTTCTTTTTTTTCCTTCTTTTTTTCTTTCTTTTCTCTCTTCTTTTTCCCTTTCTCCTTTTCCCAGCTATATCATACCCTAGGATGATTTTAATTCACTTGTATATTTTAAGAAAACCTTAATAAAGATTATTTTTTTAAAAAAAGGATGCCATCCATCTTGCCCTTGGTCGGCCTCTCTTCCTTTTTCCTTCCATTTTCCACAACATAATCATCTTCTCTAAGCTTTCCTTTCTTCTCATGATGTGGTTCATCTTTGCCTCTACTATCCTTCTCTCCAATGAGGTCGAGCTTTATTTCCTGAAGTATGGACCAAGTAGCAACACTAAGAACTGACCATGGAACAACAAACTGGTTCAAGATTGGGAAAGGCGCACGGCAGGGTTGTATACTCTCACCCAACCTATTCAACTTGTATGCAGAACACATCATGTGATGTGTGGGGCTTGATGAATACAAGGCTGGGGTAAAAATTGCTGGTAGAAACATTAACAACCTTAGATATGCAGATGACACCACTTTGATGGCTGAAAGCGAGGAGGAGCTGAGGAGCCTGAGAACATGGCCCGAAAAATCTACAACAACCCGTTGTGAGGTCTGTTAGAAAATAGGCAACTGAGGTTTATATATCTGTGGAATGTCTAGGGTGGGAGAAAGAAATCTTAACTTTTTTAGGCAAGTGTGAATGTGGCAATTGTCCAGCGTTAAATAGCCTTGCAGCTTCAAAGCCTGGCTGCTTCCTGTCTGGACAAGAGGGATCCTCTCACTGCAGGAGTCTACCTTAAATCATGTAGCTGTGGACAAGTCTACATAGGGACCATCAAACGCAGCACCCAAACACAAATCAAAGAACATGAGAGGTACTCCTGATTAATCCAACTAGAGAAGTCAGCCATAGCAGAGCACTTGATGAACCAACCTGGACACAACATATTACTTGAGAACGCAGAAATGCTAGACCACTCTAACAACCACCATGTCAGACTACACAGAGAAGCCACTGAAATCCACAAGCATGTGGACAATTTCAACAAAAAGGAGGAAACCATGAAAGTGAACAAAATCTGGGTACCAGTGTTTTAAAAAACATTTTAAAATGTGAGTAAATAAAGAATAACACTCAGAAAACAGGGTAACAATCAGGGCCCATAAACACCTCCCAACCAAGGATTCCCCAGGCAAGAAGCAGCCAGGCTTTGAATGCCCAAGTTGTAGGAGAAAGATAAACTCAGGGAAAAAAGTTTTTTTGTATTGTCGAAGGCTTTCATGGCCGGAATCACTGGGTTGTTGTAGGTTTTTTCGGGCTATATGGCCATGCTCTAGAGGCATTCTCTCCTGACAATTTTGCCTGCATCTACGGCAAGCATCCTCAAAGGTAGTGAGGTCTGTTGGAATTAGGAAAAAGGGTTTATATATCTGTGGAATGACCAGGGTGGGACAAAGAACACTTGTCTGTTGGAGCTAGGTAAGAATGTTTCAACTGACCACCTTGATTAGCATTTGATGGCCTGGCAGTGCCTGGGGCAATCTTTTGTTGAGAGCTGATTATATGTCCTTGTTTGTTTCCTCTTTGTTGTTTTCCCGCTGTAATTTTAGAGTTTTTTAACACCAGTAGCCAGATTTTGTTCATTTTCATGGTTTCCTCCTTTCTGTTGAAATTGTCCACATGCTTGTGGATTTCAATGGCTTCTCTATGTAGTCTGACATGGTGGTTTTTAGAGTGGTCCAACATTCCGTGTTCTCAAATAATATGCTGTGTCCAGGTTGGTTCCTCACTACCTCTGAGGATGCTTGCCATAGATGCAGGTGAAACATCAGGAGAGAATGCCACCAGAAAATGGCCATATAGTCCAAAAAAACCTACAACAACCCAAATGTTTTTTTTATTTTGTTTTTTTTATTTACATTATAGATACCATGGACAATTTTCTATACCTAAAACACACTGAAGAGCCAGTCTTTGTAGCAGCCACATTATAGACAACTAGAATATGCCGCTTCAATGCTATAGTGGTCTTTTGCTATCCTGTTTCCCATGTAGTGCACTGGGCATTGCTTTCTCTTGCTGTATTACAGGTGTAACAGCAGAGGGGGACAAAGTATGGCTTATTCCATAGCAGATCTGCCAGATCAATTTTGGTGAAAACATTGATCCCCAGCACATTCTCTAGAAATATAGCTCAACCAATGTTGTTACCTCACTGTAACCAACTGGGTTTCTCATTCTGTACCAAAGCATCTACACAAACAGACTTTCTTCCAAGTGATATTTTAAGTAGCTGCTATGTTCATATCACAGTAAGGTAGCAGTTACTGTACCATAATTTCTCCTAGTTCTACAGATGTAATAGGATTTGGTTCCTTTTGTGTGTGTGTGTGCGTGCTGTTAGAGTTTATTATTGTTTGTATATGTGGTAGCTTTTATCATTTGTAATGATTTTTAGAAACACTAAAGAAATTAGACGTTGGAGTGTATTTTGAAGATGCTTCAGAAATAGTTTATTTTGCTTCCTTTCTCACTAATTTTTGTGTGTGGCTGTGAACCATTTTCTGTTTGCTATGTAGTTATGTCACACTATTTGAATGTGCCTGTTTCTGTTATGGTTTTGACATTTGTGGATTTGATTAAAAATGTACTCCCTAGGATTTGTTCATTCCTCCAATGTGATTTTATGCTCAGCTTCCAGTGGAAGATGGCCATAGAGTCATCCTGGAATATTTCAAAATTGTTAGAGAAGTGTTCTCTCGAGTTCACAGTTTTTCAGTTTCATGGGAGTCATATGCCACTAACTTCAATGAATGTTTAAGGTTAACTGTATTTCATTTTGTCTTTGGCCTCCAGAGGGAGTGAATCACCTAAATGAATAGTTATGGCTATAGCATTATGAATAATTATTTAATGAATACATATTTCAGTCATGCATTACAAAAATATTGTAAGGCCTTATACGTTTTAAAAAGTAGTTACAATTTAAATTACAATCAAATATAGAACATGGCCATATAGCCCAAAAAAACTACATCAATCCTATAATCAAATAATTATAAAGTTAGGGTTTTCTTGGTCTTGGATATGGTCTTTCTTCCCAAGTCAGGCATCTGCATTCCAGTTATGCTGTTAATGAACAAAATGTTTGCATAGTGATGTGCCAGAAAGCAAAACAAGTTGAAAGAAGACCAAAGTAAGAAATTACTGGCTTATATGAATATGGATTGCTTTATGTGTCTCCATCCTAATCCATTTTGCAATTTATATTTTAGGGACATGGCTGCTATACCTACCTTGCACTTGGAGTATAGCCCTGGCAGCAGAACCAGGCTGTTTACCCTCCTGGAACATGCTACTCCTGTTTGGCACTGGTGCAGTACTGATGCGTGGAGCCGGCTGTACAATTAATGACATGTGGGATCGGGACTATGACAAAAAGGTAGAGAGGACTTGAAAAGAACAGGCAGGCTCATTATGGTTGCTCAGTAAGTAAATGACATTTTTGTAAAGCAGTTCCCTTACTTACCCTTGAAACATATTCTCCAACTGGTGCAGAAATCCTTCCATAATCTTCTAGCTACTTTTAAAATGTTCTGGTTTCTCTCTCTTCCTACCACTTTCCTCCTTGGTCCTCAGCTTTCTGCAGACTGAATCCACAAGGGATGGGTGTAACTGTCCTCTTCTTCTCCTGTTGGCTATAACATTATCAGCATTGTGAATGTAATTGGCAATATGGCCATGAGTGGGACAGATTGGACCAGGGCAGAATGAGGGCTAAGAGTGCTGCCATCATAATGGGCTGTTAGTGATGCCTTTGCATATAAAACCTTATTGACCTATTTTGCAAATAATACCAAGTCACAACTTTGCAAGAATCAGCTTCCCTTCCTTTTCTGGAGAAACAACTTCAAAAACTTGCTGACAAGAAGTTAAAAACACAGACTAGAATTTGGAAAAGGCTTTTTTATTATTATTATTACATCATCCAGAATTCCATGGCCAATGTAGTCTTTGCTGATGATGGGATTTGGGAATTGTACTCCAAACAAATAAATACCCTTCCCCAAGCTCTGGGTAATACTAAAAAATAACCTGTACTTCAGGGTTAGATTAACTACAGATTACTATTCCATCTGAAACAAACTGCACTTAATCCTTACTGTGTTTACTGAAAGCAATTCACCTTCACAGTCTGGAGCAGAATATGTTGAAATGGGAAGTCATATTGAAATAACCTTAGGGATGGCACATATAAGATGGAGTGAGATTGCTTTAGGTTGCTCTGTAGAGAAGAACACAAATCAATGTATCCATATTATAAGAAGAGATTTCACCTATTTCCTGACTGTCAGAGCTGTCCAACAGCAAAATAGTGTTAGATTCTTCTTTGTGTATTCCTGTATGGCAAGGGGATTGAGTAGATGGTTCTTGCAGTCCCTTTCAAATCTTTGGTCCCATGATTTTAACTTTGGTTTGACATTGACATTTCTTCTGATCTATAGATTAAGTTAGCTAGTTTTCCCAGGTTCAGACATCAGACTAATCCAACAACAACAACAAAACTTTATTTATATACTGCTCTATCTCCCCAAAGGGACTCAGAGCAGTTTCCAAGTGACATAATCAATACATGCAAAGAGAACAGCATGAACATAAAACTGACCAGACAAAATAAGCATTAAAAACCACAATAGCACATATATTTAAAATTTATTTATCATGTCAGAGGCAAACCAAACAGTTGCATTGCATTTTCAACAAACAAACAAACAAACACAAACAAAAACACAAAGTTTGCAAGCTTGGTAGTTGGTTAAATGTCCTTTGACCAGTAGCTGACCACTTGGAGTGCCTCTGGTGTTGCTGCAAGAAGGTCCTCCGTTGTGCATGTGGCAGGGCTCAGGTTGCATTGCAGCAGGTGGTCTGTAGTTATATATTTAAAATAATCCTGCCTGTTCAAAACAGTTTAAAAGGCCGGGCTGGGCTAGTGCGATTTTAGGGGGCCCAGGAAATTAGATAGAGTCTATGGCTGTACATTTCCAGGACCTAATAGAAGAAAGTGACCTGGGTAATTGGTAGAAAAAGATATGGCCAATTTCTACAGTAATCCAGAGCTTCGAAACTCCTCCTTGCAGTTCAATCGGAAGGGAAAGTGTGATCACACAAGTTTTATGCATCTTCACAAAATGAAACCATGGTTAGTGTGCAAATATACATAGCTAGTGTTTCAAGTGTACTACATAATGCATTAGAAAACCAAAATGACTTAAATACCTTGAAAGTCTATATTTTCTCAGTTATATTATGTCAGTTAGTAATACAGCCAATGACTGAAATAATTTGCTGTGTTTTAGGTTGAGAGAACTGCAAGTCGGCCACTAGCAGCTGGAGAGATTTCAAGTTTTCATTCCCTGGTTTTTCTTGGGGGACAGCTTAGTCTGGCCTTGTGTGTCCTGTTATGTTTGAATTATTATAGGTAAGTTGAAAATGAATGGGCCCCTTTTAGCATACTAATAAATTGAGAAGATTAATGACATAGTCTGCCGTACATGAGAAACTGTTTTGGCCTCAACTTGTTTTTAATTAGTTATGTTATGTATATAATTGTTTTATATACAGCTGTATTTAAAATCAATCTTTGTATTACACAGCTAACTGTTGCTGTTTGTCAGCTTAATATTATGTATATTTTTTAAGGAAATGAATAGTTGGTTGTTTAGGGCGTTTTTGTCTAGGCTGCCTACGTAGGGTGTGGGTTTTGGAATCATTCCGACCGAGACATGAATGCAGAAAAAGTTGCATTTGAATGGATAAGTGTGGATTTTTTTTTTAAAGAAATATTTGGTTTAGGTAATGTTTTCTCAGATCCTAGCAGCAAAGGCAGAAAAATCAGACTAAGAGTGAAGGATTGCATTCAGATCCATTTCACTGGAAAGGAACATTGTTGTGATTGTACTTTGCTGTATTTCAGTTATAAATTGCTAGCATATCTACCGGGTGTTGCACAGGTGTCATAGGAGCCGCTGCCCCCCTGATTTCCTCCCTTCTTTCTCTTTCACTCCCATCATATCTTTCCTCCTTTCCTTTCTCTTCCTTCCTTCTCTCCTTTTTCTCTGCCCCCTTCCTTTTCTTTTTTCCCTTCCTTTCCCTTCCTTCTTCTCCCCTTTATCCTTTCTCCAGCTCTGAGAGAGCCTACCTCACAATGTACCCATGGCAACATGGCTCTCTTTGTGGCTCTTACCTTCCTTCTTCCCTTTCCCTCATACACACCCCACCTTTCTTTCCCAGTGACATCACAGAGGGCCACTGGATTGTCACCTAATGACAGTCTTTGTGGTACAAATAAACATATAGATATATATACATACTTTGACTGACTGACAGATTATTATGGGAAAGGTATGCTAGTAATAAAATAAATAGCAATAGGTTTTTTTAAATAATAAAAATTTAGATGTGTTAAAATTTATATCTTCTATGCACATAATAAAAGTGAAAATATGTATATGTTATATGGCTGGGGTGTTCACTTACACAGACAAGCCTCCACAAACAGCTGTAGCTCCCACCATTCAGGAGACCCCAGTGGCCCTCCCTCCAGTGAAATTGCAGGTTATAGTGAGCGCCATTAACATGTCCAAGAGCCCAGTCGCTGTCCTCCACAAATGCCATCCTGCCCACCACCCAAGGGAAGGCTTTCATTGGGGACAATTTCCTACTAGATTTTATGTTTTCCCTCCACCACGGGCATCCCAGTGTTCCTTTCTCTCTCCATTGGTGTGGAATTTGCATGATCCTGCCCACTGCCTCTCCCTTAACAATTTCCTACTCTATGGCACACAGCAAACAGAAAGAAATTGATCAGCAACTGACCATACTGGAAGGATTTGGGAGACTGACTCAACATGATGGAAGTTGTAGTTCACTCTCCACAGACAATGGATCTAGACCACATTTGGCACACAGAACCCCCATGGGCAAATACAGATGAGGCTTAGGGAGGAAGTTGATGTATAGGAGTTGTAGGTACTGGGATGTATAGTTCACCTGCAATCAAAGAGCTTTCTAAACCTCGCCAGCAATGGACCTGGATCTAACTCGTCACACAGATCCCCCATGACCAACAAAAATACTGGAGGTCTTTGGGGGGATTTATAGGAGGAGGATTTCACCTAAATCCAGAGAGCACTGGGAACTGAATCAGGACCAAACTCAGCACACAGACCAAACATGGCCAAGTTTGAATTTTTGGGAATTGCAGTTCACCCACATCCTTATGCATTTTCTAATGGGAGCATTCATAAAAAACAAAAGCAAATATTGACTTTTTTCTAATAAATAACATTAGAAATCACCAAAATGACCTAACATCCAAAAACAAACAATGCATTTTTCAAATAACCCAGGCATTGCTGGGTCCCCAAGCTAGTTATAATAATAAAAAGTCTAGGTACTGACCCTTAATTGCCCAAAACTGCTTGATATATACGCAACAAGTAGTACCAGCACCTTTGAGAAAATCAGGTGACTTATTGGGTTCCTTTAAATTGTTTCCTACTTATGACAACACTAAAACATGCCTTAAGTCAGATAGGCAAATCTATTGTGGGGTTTTCTTGGGGAGGTTTGTTCAGAGGTGGTGTGACTTTGCCTTGCATGGCACTGGATCTCTCACATGACTTGAAGAAATATGAAAATATTTAGGAAAAATTCCTTGCTATGTAAAGCAGGTCATTGGCATGTAATATTGAGGCGGGACATAGCTAGCTCACTGAAATGCTGAACAGGAATACTTTATACTACAACATTATGTTGCAGTCATCACTTTTGAGTCTAATTAAATTTAGCCTAGATTGAATAATTTTGTTGTTCTCATAGCTCTGGACAGCAAACATGAAGCTGATCCATTTGATCTTTCCAAGACCTCTGTGAGTTACATCAAGCTGAGATCTTGAGGCCACCAAATAAATATCAAGACTGACCAATGTTAGAAATGAGGTGTCCCTGTTCAAAGTCTAATATTGGCTGAGAGCTCACATGCAATGCACAGAGACTAACCAATTAAATACTGTAGATTTTATTTGTATTTGTCGTGTCAGATTAACCAGTCAATTATATTACATTTCTAACAGAACAAAGCAAACAAACAGATAAAATACAACATTTGTGAGTTTGGTAGTTGGTTAAATGCCCTTTGACCAGTATCTGGCCACTTGGAGTGCTTCTGGTGTTGCTGCAAGAAGGTCTCCATTGTGCATGTGGCAGGGCTCAGGTTGCATTGCAGCAGGTGGTCAGTGGTTTGTTCCTCTCCACATTCGCATATCGAGGATTCCACTTTGTAGCCCCATTTCTGAAGGTTGGCTCTGCATCTCGTGGTGCCAGAATGCAGTCTGTTCAGCGCCTTCCAAGTCACCCAGTCCTCTGTGTGCCCAGGAGGGAGTCTCTCATTTGGTATCAGCCATTGGTTGAGGTTCTGGGTTTGAGCCTGCCACTTTTGGACTCTCGCTTGCTGAGGTGTTCCAGCGAGTGTCTCTGTAGATCTTAGAAAACTATTTCTAGATTTAAGTCGCTGACGTGCTGGCTGTTACCCAAACAGAGGATGAGCTGGAGATGTCTCTACCTTGGTCCTTTCACTATTGGCTGCTACTTCCCGGCAGATGTCAGGTGGTGCAATACCAGCTAAGCAGTGTAATTTCTCCAGTGGTGTAGGGTGCCAACACCCCGTGATAATGCGGCGTGTCTCATTAAGAGCCACATCCACTGTTTTAGTGTGGTGAGATGTGTTCCACACTGGGCATGCATACTCAGCAGCAGAGTAGCACAGCGCAAGGGCTGATGTCTTCACTGTATCTGGTTGTGATCCCCAGGTTGTGCCAGCATTCATGCAAGCAATACTGTAGATGAGTCTCCACTATCCAACCTCCTCCTTTCTCCAGGGCTCAGTAGCTACAAAGAAGAAAGCTTTTGGTGCATCTTAAAAGAAAAGAATATACATGTGCATTGTATGCATTTATATTTCACTAACAAGATGTCAGCCAATGTGTTTGAAACCATTCTAACTCGACTGAAGTATATTTTGCATGTTACAGTACATATTTATTGATTAACATGAGATTAGAAACTATTCCAAAGGAAGAGTGATGCTGTGTCTCGTTTACTGAAATTTCTTTTCTTTTCCATTCGTTTCTGGAATTCCACTGATCCTTAAATTCCACGTGCAGTTGCAGATTGCCCAGGTCCTTCAGATTAGATTGTAGAGTTAACTTTAGTGGTTTTGTTTACTTGACCTTTCTATGAGATGGCCTTCACTTGCTGATTTAGCTATGTATGATAGCCTTGTAGTCAGAGAAGTCAGACGAAACTGATTCTTAATGGTTTTAAAAAGGCGGAAAGGACTTTATGGTGTCTTTGGAGGGGTCTGTCCTTTTCCTAATTAATTGGGTAATTGCTGATGTTATTACTGTTCTACCTTCCTTAAGTTTTGCTTGTTCTGCTGTAATGTAAGACAAATTGAGCTTGAATAAGACAATCTTTTTCTTTAACCAGCTCCACCCTCCCTGAACAGGCTGCATACCTCACAGAAAAATGTGGGATGGATTACATTTAGTGTGTTTTGATTATAGTTCTCAATGGATATGTAATACCTAGATGTAGGACTTCTCATTTTAGTTCGCCATACCTAAATTGCAAGGAGAATGTCTCCATGTAGCAGGGGCTCTTTGGTTCAGACCTTTCATCTTCCAAACATATGAAGGTGACAGAAATGACAGTGAAGGGAGTAGAAGTAGCACACCCCCTCTCTTCACATGATGAGTAAGTACACATTTAAACTTCTGAACTGAACTAGAGTTTGGTAACCTCACCCCTCCCATTTACTGAAATTTTAGAAAATGACTTGACATTATGCCAGCTGTGAAGATCCCTTACCTTGCCAGCCGGGGTGGCAGGGCCTGGGAGAGGCAGGCTAGTTAATTAGGCCTTGGAAGGCCTGGCAGAGAACAGCAGGAGCCATTTTGGTTTAGGGAAAGCTCCAGTTCAGAGAGGGGGAGTGGCCTAGGCCTGAGCCAGCCCTGAAACAGCCAGGATTGGTTTGTAAAAGGGGGGTGGAGTTAGACTGTTGGAGGGAAAGTAAGAAGCTGTTTTTAGTCAGTTCAGTTCTGGTTGATGTTAGAGATAGAGCAGGATTATAGCTATTAGGAGTTCGTGATTAGAATAGGCAGTTTGCCTGGAGTTTGCACAGTGAAATAGGCTGTGGCAAACTGGTTACAGCTATTTTAGGGAAAAATAGCTGGGTTTTGTAATAGGAACTGTAACAAAGAAAGAACCATTCTCTCATGCAACCGTTACGCTTTTAAGAACAAGAACACTTTAATTGTAACAGCCAAGCTTATGAAACTGCATTCACTTTCATTCTGTAACTTTTATTCAATAAGCTTTCCTTGTTATTTTTGAAACTTAAGCCTGCGTCACGTGCCATTTGTGGATTTAGTCCCTTTTCTTTTTAAAACAACCTCACCTGTTTCCCTTCAGAGAAACCCTTTTAAAAGACAGTACTTGGTGGTGTTTTAAACAACCTTTTTAACATCTTAAATAGCTAGAGGGTTCCTGTTCATTTGGTTTATGGTGGCAGCGAAGGTTTAAATAAAGAGACATCCCCTCAAGTGTTATCTAGGTGCCAAAGTGGTGTGAATTCCTTATTAAAGGAGGGACAGTGTTGGGATCTGTTTGCCCCTGTCCAGTATATTGTTTGGCCATAAAGCCTGCCTTTATAATTGGTGGTAGATGGTGGGATTGATTGTACTGCCATCTGCCTAGGTATTATAATTGGTGGGGCAGCGGTGGGATTGTTTGACCCCCTTGCCCAGACGGCCATTAAGGGGTTATTATACCAGCCCCCACTTGCAATACTCCCCCACTACTTCACTACATTTTTTTTTATTGAGAAACATCTCTTCAAGAAAAGAAAGAAAGAGAAATAATTTTTGGAAAGATTTATCAAGAAATAGCTTCACTGTGCCACGAGGAACCTTATATCTAGCTATATTTGGTCTTCCTCAGATTTCTTGGGTCAAGTAAGACACAATAAAATAGCTTTTGGGGAAGCAAAGTGTGTGCATTCAAATTTTTCTGAAATACTTGTTTTCTTGCTTCACAGTATTGCTTTAGGAGCTGCTTCCTTATCACTTGTGGTGACTTACCCCCTTATGAAGAGAATAACATACTGGCCACAGTTGTTCTTGGGTGAGTTGTTCTAGTCCAGAAGTTTCATTCTCATAAATATGGATTGTTTATACTGGCTTAACTCTAGTTCAGTTCAGAAGTTTAAATGTGTACTTACTCATCATGTGAAGAGAGGGGGTGTGCTACTTCTACTCCCTTCACTGTCATTTCTGTCACCTTCATATGTTTGGAAGGTGAAAGGTCTGAACCAAAGAGCCCCTGCTACATGGAGACATTCTCCTTGCAATTTAGAATCCTGGAAAACTACCTGGAGAACCTTGGCAGGTATAGGAAGATCTCCTTTTCAGACTTCTCACTATTCATACTTCTGAAGGCAATGGAAAGAACAATGGGGAGAGTGGTACTGACACACTCAATGTCATCATGTGTTATGCTCCCTCAAAAAACTAAAAATAAGGCTTTTGTGTGGAATTGTAGTCAAACTGTTTAAAGCAGGCATCCGCAGACTGCAGGCTTCCAGCTGTTTGGGCCTCCAACTCCCAGAAGCCCTAATGAGCTTGTTCAATTGTCAGGAATTCTGGGATTTGAAGGCCCAAACAGCTGGAGGGCCACAGTTTGAGGATACCTAGTTTAAGGTCTCCTATGCATTACAAAAGGTTGCGTCCCATAGTAAGACAAAAGTAATTGGACAAAATAATCTTTAGAGCTGAGTTTTGCCTAGAGCAGGGCATCTTAAACTTCTCCACTTCTGACCCCTTCCACCCAAGAAATGTGAACCTGGGTATATAAAAAGGTATAAAATCAACTGTTTACTGATAATAAATCAGAATTTGCAAGGCTTGCTAAACAAGATGGTTTTCCTTTTTACGAAGAACAGCTGAAGCATTTTCTTCAGAATCCACTGTAAACACTGCACAACAGATTTGTGTAAATATCTAAAGCAGCCATTAGGTGACATTCAGAAACCTTTTAATATTTCCAGTTTTTTTTTTCAGTTTAGAACTCTCCATACTGTTGCCCTTTTTAATAAACCATCTATCACTATGGTGACTGAGCAAAATGTAAGCTTTCCGTACCTTTTAATTGTTATTTGGAAGAAGGAATGTTCAGTGCAGTTTTTTCCAACATTCGGTTTATAGTAATGAATGAAACATTGCTGGCCAAACTTCACCCTTTTGCCCAGCCATTGAAAGTAAGCTGTACCTTTGTGTCTTTCGCATTTGCTTATCATAAAATGCTGCCGCACATGCACACAAGGTTCAGAAATGGGAGTGCCAGAAATGTAATAATACCTTTCCTGTTTCAAATTACCTTCCTTGTGCGTAAATCTGACTCATTTGGAGGATGTACTACGAAAAAATTGCACTGTTTTTCCACAGACTTCCAACAGTGTTTGAACACTGGTGATATTCCATCTGAAATCCCTGTTTTCACCTGGAGTCCCTGTTTTACAATTGTGGATTAGGATATGTTTCTTCCAGAAATGTGAAAAACTCTTCATTCCTTCAGAAACTGTCAGTAATGATAATTGGAAGGCCCTGTTCATATGCCTCCCTGTGGGCCTGCTTCAGAGCTTGGAAAAGTTAGATTTTTTTGGGTTACAATTTCCAGAATGTTGTTTTCCAGAATGTTGTTTTGAAAAATTACTATTCAAAACCATCTCTTTCCCAGTCTCTAATTTCTCACAAGAATGGAATATTATGATCTTAAGGTGGCATACTCAAGCACTCAAAAGAATGTGCTGCCTTTCCAGAAGGTTTATGTTCCATCCATCTGTGGATGCAAATGGAAATATATATCCTACACAATTTAGAGAGGGCTTGTGATATGTGGTTTCTCTCTTTAGTTTATAACATAAGGGCTATAAAAAGTCATACACTTTTACTAGTAAATCTTATCCTACAATAAAACCATATGTCTTACATTTGCTATGAGGTCATTTTGTTTTCTTGCTTCAGAATTGCTCAATTTAAAAATAAATCTGTAATCCTCAAAGTAAACTCTTAAAGTAAACTTATATCTAAGTGCCTTGCGCTTAGACCTCATATCTAGATTTCAAACTTTTTTTTTTGAAACCTAGGTATTAGGTCAGTGTTACATTCCAGTCTTTCTTTCAGGCCTTACCTTCAATTGGGGAGCCTTACTTGGGTGGTCTGCTATTCAAGGCTCTTGCAACTGGTCTGTTTGCTTGCCACTCTATTTCTCAGGGGTTTTGTGGACATTGACATACGACACTATTTATGCTCACCAGGTAATGTAGCTTTCTTATTCCTTAATAGACCTTTGAAATAAGGGCTGGTGCTGAGTGGCTTTGATGAATTATGTTGCTTTGATATTGTTGTTTCTGTTCAGCTTGGAAATGAGTTTTAAATTGTGTTTGCTTGAACAAATTTAGAGTTGTTTCCATTGTTGCTCTTTTTCTGCTCTTGTTACATAATGTATTTGGATATAGAACCAGTCTTTTTTTTTTTTAAGCAAACACTATCTGTGTGTATTTGGAGTTTTTTATTCTGCTTATGAGTTTCCCTGACTCTTCTTGATAATGTGAACATTCAATAATACATAGTCATACCTTTCCCCCCAATTTGGGAACAATGATTCCTAACCTCATTAGTAGCTCAAGCTGTCCATAAACAAAAATACTAAGATCAAAGTGCTTTGCTCATGTTCATCTTATGCAAAACCGATGATAACTTGGTAAACAAAAACTGTGCTACTATCCCCTCTTTGCAAATGGGAAGGTGTGGATGAGAACTAACTGGTTTCACAATTGCTCCAACTTTGAGGGAATCGTGGGGCCCTCCAGATCTTGTTGGACTGTAAATCCCAGCAACACTAGACTAAAATGAAGGGCAAGGAATGCTGTAAGTTGCAGTCCAACAACATTTGCACAATCATATCATTCCCCAGCTTAATTGCAATGGAATGTGTTATCCTAAGCTGGTTTGTTTAACAAAGCTAGTTTCATATACTATCTGTTGACATTGCTGTTTTCCTTTCAGACGAGCCATATTAATATTAATTTTGTCACATTTGGATTACATGACAAGTAAAGCTAAACCATGCTGTTGACAATTGTACCCCGATTCTGTAATCTTGCCTATATATACCATTTTGTCCTCCATATTGTTCTATATTATTCGGTCCCTCTTTTATTCAGAAGAGGAAGTGCAACTGGGCCATCTTACTAAATGTTTTGCAACCTTTCATTGTAGGACCGAAGGGATGACCTTGCTATAGGGGTGAAATCCACAGCGCTCCGGTTCAGGGAAAACACCAAACAGTGGCTCAGCGGCTTCAGCTCCTTGATGCTTTTGGGACTCACTGTGACAGGAATGAATTGTGACCAGACTTTCCCATACTATGCATCTGTGACTGCTGTGGGGTTGCACTTGGCTCGGCAGGTTAGTCACAAGTTTTGGTGCCTATTTATATCATTCCTTCAAACACTGGCTTAAACCTGGTTTAAATTCCTAACCATCTCACTGCTGCATGTTAATGAAAGGCCAGCTGTGTTTTATATACCATGTATATAACTTATTGAGTATTGTGTATATTGAGTATAAGCCAAGGGTTGGAAATGCTGCAGCTATTGGTAAATTTCAAAATAAAAATAAATACCAATAAAATTACATTAATTGAGGCATCAGTAAGTTAATTTTTTTGAATATTTAAAGTATTTCAAAGGAAAACAGTAAACTAGCTCTGTACGTTGAAAAGTAGGGCAAACAAAAACAATATGGTATCAACAATGACTTAATAATAATAACAACAACAAAACTTCATTTGTATTCAGCTCTATCTCCACATGGGGACTCTGGCCAGTTTCTAACATAGTAAGAGACAAACATTAAATGCCCATATAAACTTCACTTCACTTCACTTTATTTCTTAATTAGTCGCTCTCCACCAAGGTGCTCCGAGCGACTTACAATCTAAAATAAAACATTCAACAATGACTATTTGGCAAATTAGATCTGATTCCTTAAATGCACAACCAAACAATGCAGAACTAGATATAGACCTATAATTATCTATACTAATTTCACATATGCATTTCCCCCTGAAACGTTTGCAAATTCTCTCTGTATATGTTCATTTCCCTCCTGCAATATTTGCAAGCCCTATATATCTATGTTTATATCTATCTAGACATCTCTATATGTGTGTGTGTGTGTGCATTTCTCCCTGTAATATTTGCAAACCCTATATATCTGTATTCATACATATCTATCTAGACATCTCTCCATATATAGATAATTATATCTATATAGGATTTGGAAAGACTTGCAAACATGTGAGGGGAAAATTCATATATAAATTTATTAATATAGATATACACATATACATACACACAGAGATATACACTTTGACTAGGAGGTTCACTTGCGAATTATCCCAACCTTATCTAAGCTCTGGCACTTTAGTTGTCCCGTTCCTGTACTTACGACACTTTAATGCCCAAGGGAATTACCCTGGCAACCCAGCCCTCTGATTATTGCACTTTCGCTCGGTTCTCCCAAGGAATCATTGCAATTACTCTGAACCCAAACCCAGTTTCAAATTGGTCAGCCAGGGTATTGTTTTTATGATGTTAATTGATTTTAATGTTTTTATTATTTGTTGTTATTGATTGCTTTTACTGTGCCTGTTTTATTTGTAATCTGCCCCAAGTCAGGGAGATGGAGGCGGGGTATAAAAATAAAGTTATTATTATTATATTATTATACACATATATCGATCTATATCTATAAAGGATTTGCAGAGACTTGCTAACATGTGAGGATAAAAATGATATATAAAAATAATGTATACAGGTATATGGAAATCTCTAGATATCTATATGTATATAGGATTTGCAAAGACCTGCAAACATATTAGGAGAAATTTCATTTATAAAATTAATATAGATAGATAGAGATATAAATGTACATAGGGATTGCAAAGGCTTGCAGTGGGAAATGCCTATATAACTGTAGGAGAGATTAACAAATATTTCAGGGGGGAAATGCTTTTATAAGATTAATGGATATTCCTGACTTGCAAGGGCTTCTCTCCCTCTTGAGCAAACGAGGGAGGCTTTGGAAAAGAAAACACACTGTTAAGGAAAGGAGAGAGAAATATATCATGTATTGCAAGCAATGGCCTCCAGGCTCTGCTGCCCGACTTGACCCCATTATAAGCCGAGGGAGGCTTTTTTCAGCCCAAAAAAAGGGCTGAAAAACTCAGCTTATCTTCAAGTATATATGGTAAGTTTGGCATCATTGAATTTAAAGTCCTTTTTAAGGAATGGAGATAAGGGCTGAGAAAGGCAAGAGAGATTGAAGATAAAAAGTACTTTTGATAAAAACAAAAGTAATTTATAGAATGTAATGCAAAATATTATTGTTATTGCATAAAGTGGGGTGAGCTCCTGCTGTTAGTCCCAGCTTCTACCAACCTAGCAGTTCGAAAACATGCGAATGTGAGTAGATCAATAGGTACCACTTCAGCGGGAAGGTAACAGCACTCCATGCAGTCATGCCGGCCACATGATCTTGGGGATGTCTATGGACAATGCCGGCGCTTTGGCTTAGAAATGGATAGATAGATAGATAGATAGATAGATAGATAGATACGTTTTATTGATTGGCCTATTGGCCGTATCAAAACATTTAACACATTTAACACATGACACATTTAACACATAGTCATACAACATACAACGCTCGGTATAAGAGAGGTTAAAATAAAAGAGGTTAAAATAAACAAACTGTTGGCAGATCCCGTTCAGGTCAAAGCTTAGAAATGGAGATGAGCACCACCCCCCAGAGTTGGACACGACTAGACTTAATGTCAAGAGGAAACTTTTACCATTACCTTAAAGTTATGATTAAATGCAGAAACTATATTTGAATCTTTTAAGTGTTCTGAGAATAATTTTGAAGCTAAAGTTTTTAAAGCTAAAGGACTGCTTTATAAGGAATTTGAGGAGAGGATATGGTTGACAAATTGTTGCTCTGATTTACAATAACCTCTATAAACCTCTGTCTCCTTCCCCAGATATATACACTAGACATTCACAGTCCTGAAGATTGCTGGAAAAAGTTCTCTTCCAACCGTACAGTCGGACTCTTACTGTTTATAGGAATTGTATTTGGAAACTTACAGAAAACGAAAAACACAGACGATGTGAGGAAACCCTTAGAGAGCAGCTCAAAAGAAATGAATGCTGATTTACAGGAAAAATAATGAAGACGCCATAAAAAGTGTACACAGTGTAAAGAGATTTCTTCATATTTAATATACATGGCGAAAGAAGACATGTTGAAAAGACTATATATTTTTGTACCTTTAAACTTATTATTGTCAATACGGGATCTTGGAAAACAATCAGCTGTTTCGAGAACTTAATTGCAGAAATATCGATGGGTGTGAAGTCTAAAGGCCTGTGTTGTAAACCTTGTAAATTATCATGGCTGTGAGCAATTCCCTGTTTGTGGAAAATAATGTTTGCAGTGCTGTGACTCAGAAACTGTTTTGTATATAACAACTATGCATTCACTTATTTAAAACTAAAATATGTAGTGACTGTCATCAAGGTGACATTTGGTTCCTTGATGTTTTCATTTGGAATACATTGAGTGTCCTACATACGTATGACTGATTAATATTGATACTTTGTTTGATTTATATCTCACTCAGGACAGTGGTTCGTTTGCAATCAATGTTTTGGCTAATAAGTGATAAAAGTCTCTGTCTTTACAAATCTCTGTGTACGTTTTACTTTCTTTTGAGTCAAAGAAATCTTAAACTTTGAGGAGTCAAAGCAATAAGAGGTCAAACCCTTTCTAGAAGATATAAACTCCCCCCCATTCTTTCAACTTTCAAGTACAATACATACATTTTGTATACAACAGGTACATTTCATGTTCCTTCTCCCCCTGATAAACTGTATTTCACTGCAAATGGCAATGAGAGCTTAACTTTCCACAAGCCTTTTGTTTCTGGAAAAATGCATCTTTAGTGCAATCTAATGCCAAGCCAAGGGTCCCCTGGTGGTGCAGCGGGTTAAACCACTGAGCTGCTGAACTTGCTGACCGAAAGGTTGGTGGTTCAGATCTGGGGAGAGGGGTGAGCTCCAGCTGTTAGCCCCAGCTTCTACCAACCTAGCAGTTTGAAAACATGCAGATGTAAGTAGATCAATAGGTACCACCTTGGCTGGAAGGTAACAGTGTGCCATGCAGTCATGCTGGCCACATGACCTTGGAGGTGTTTACTGTCAACGCCGGCTCTTCGGCTTAGAAATGGAGATTAGTACCACCCCCAGAGTCGGACACGACTAGATTTAATGTCAAGGGAAAACCTTTACCTTTAATGCCAATCTGATGCAATCCTGGCTGCTGTCTTTCCTTTGAAACTATTATTCTTCCGATTTTAAAATGAACCAATCATGAGATGATCAGATTTTGGTTTTATAAGTAATGATATGAATGAACTGTTGTTTTTCTCTTCCGTTTGTACAAGTTGCAAACCAAGCTGGGGGACTGCAGTTAACTGTGGTTACAAACCTTTCAAATAAGTAAGATATCTGAGCAAACTTTGAAATTGATCTGCAAATTCCACCTTGTGTGGAAGTTATTAGCAGCAATTCCATATTTGTATGTTGTGGGTAGCAATAGTTTATTACCTGCTTGGCTCTCTTGTGTGGAGAGAGAGGAATGGTGGCAGCATTTATTGATATTAAACCTGGATTTTTGGGTATCAGCCAACTTTATGCTGATTCTTTCACTTTTATTTTGACTGAGGATGCAATTTTATTTTTATAGCTATTTTTATTACGTTTTCAAGATGAGGGTGCAATTTTAGCAGGTTGTAGTACACTTTGCTGTTAAAAGAGATGTCCTGCACAACATTAAATTGCGTCTTCAGGGGGAGTAAGAACACATTAAAGAGAAGAGAGAAAAAAATGTGTGGTCTCGCCCATGCATTTTGCATTATTTATTTATTTATTTATTTACCTTTATCTGTATACCACTTTTCTCACCCCAGGGGGGACTCAAAGCGGTTTCCAGCATATTTACGGCAAACTTTAATGTCTCACAAACATATTAAAACCTAACATAAAAACAATAACATGTAATTAGTAATTAAATCATAAAACGGAACACCATTTAGACATTCAAACATGGAATTAAAAATATATTAATATAAACATTAAACTCACATGATCCAAAGACATAATCCAGGCCATTCCAATATTAAATATCAATTGCACACAATCCCTGTTCATTCCTTGTATAGCTTATTGCCCAAATGCTTGGTTCCACAGCCATGTTTTTGCCTTTTTTCTGAAGGCCAAGAGGGAGGGCGCTGATCTAATTTCGTTGGGGAGAGAATTCCACAGTTGAGTGGCCACCACTGAGAAGGCCCTGTCTTTCGTCTCCACCAGTCACGCCTGCAAAGGAGGCAGGACCAAGAGCAGGGCCTCCCCGGATGATCTTAACCTCCGAGATAGTTCATAGATAGAGGGAGATATGTTCAGACCTCTTTATTGTGGCCTAAAGAGGTTACTTACATTTATGTTCCCTTTGTAGAGGCATTATCACATTTCTCTCATACCTGTGCCACCCAGCAGCGCAAACTGTTGCCTCAAGAACCTTAAATTATGGTTTCTCAAACAATAACCATATACCCAAGAAAAAACCCAAAGTGATGCTCTAGCTGCATGATGATTTCATTTATTCAGAACAGACTTTCAGCACCAAAATCTCTTAATTGAAAGGACAAGATTAAAAGCTCACAATTTAGCATCAGGGCAGATGTATTCATCGCTTTAAGTGCTTTTGTTGTTGGGTGTCTTCATGTTGTTTCTGACTTACAGTAATCATAAGAGGTTTTCTTAGGCTAATCGTGTGTGACTTACCCAAGGATTTTTATAGCTGGGTGGCAATTTGAACCCTGTTCTCCAGAGTCATAGTCCAATGTTCAAACCATGCTGGCTCCAGTGAAGAGATTACTTTAGCTAAAAGCAATAGTCTGTTTCCTCTCAGGCACCCTTCGTATAGCATCTCAGAGCTAAGTATTTTATGCCTGATGAAAGGATAAGAGGATGAAAGGATAAGAGGAGATACGGGAAAGGGAGACCTTTAATTCGACCTAGGGAACGGGGGCGGGGAACAACGTTAGTAATTCCAAAGCGGTCTCCTGATATGACAAGTTGGTGTAACCAGGATGGCGGTCCCTCCGGATTGAAAGTGGTGCTGTTGAACGCCAGTTCTGTCAACGGTAAAACAACTTTCATCCAGGATTTAATCCTGGATGAACGGGCAGATCTGGCGTGCATCACAGAGACCTGGTTGGACGAAGCGGGAGGTGTAAATTTAACCCAGCTTTGCCCACCAGGCTTCTCTGTGCAGCACCAGCGAGATCCGGAGGGCGGGGAGGCGGAGTTGCAGTGGTCTACAGAGATTCCATTCTTCTGACCAGGGCCCCATCCCGCAGTCAACAAATTTTGAATGCGTCCACCTGAGGGTGGGTGACCGGGACAGATTAGGGATTCTGTTAGTGTACCGTCCACCTCGCTGCACTACTGACTCCCTGACTGAGCTAGCGGGGGTGGTCTCGGACCTGGCGTTGGAGTCCCAACGGCTGCTTGTGCTGGGGGACTTCAATGTCCATGCCGAGGTCGCCCTATCGGGAGCGGCTCAGGACTTCATGTCTACCATGGCAACCATGGGGCTGTCCCAACAGGTATCTGGCCCCACCCACAGTGCTGGACATACATTGGACTTGGTTTTCTGCCAGGGATGGGAGGAAGGTGGCGGTGTTGAGGAGTTAACCATCTCTCCGTTGCCATGGACCGACCACCACCTGGTCAGCTTTAGACTCACTGCACCCCCTAACCTCCGCAGAGGTGGAGGACCCATTAAATTGGTCCGCCCCAGGAGGCTTATGGATCCGGATGGATTCCTGATGGCTCTTGGGGAATTTCCCGCCACCTCGGTTGGTGATCCTGTTGATGCTCTGGTCGCTCTCTGGAATGGGGAGATGACTAGGGCAATAGACACGATCGCTCCAGAACGTCCCCTCTCAAGTAGCCGAGCTAAACCAGCTCCTTGGTTTACCGAGGAGCTGGCAGCGTTGAAGCGAAAGAAGAGGGAACTAGAGAGCGTGTGGCGTTCGGATCCGAGCGAGCCAAATCGAACACGGTTTGTGTCCTTTTTAAGGGCATATGCCGCGGCAATAAAGGCCGCAAAGAAAACTTTCTTTGCGGCCACTATTGCGTCTGCAAAAAACCGTCCGGCTGAACTGTTCCGAGTTGTCAGAGGCTTATTAAAACCCTCCACTCAGGACGGGTGCCCTGAGGACTCGGCAGCTCGCTGTGAAGCTTTTGCTCGGTTCTTCGCAGACAAAGTCGCTTTGATCCGCTCTGGACTGGACACCATATTAACGGCAGTATCTGAGGATGTAACACGAGCATCTGCTTGTCCGGTTTTGATGGATTCATTTCAATTGGTTCAATCCGAGGATGTGGACAAGGTGCTTGGAGGAATGAGAGCTACCACATGCATCCTAGACCCCTGCCCATCCTGGCTTCTGAAGGAGGCCAGAGGGGGATTGGCCGAGTGGGTGAAGGTGGTGGTTAATGCCTCCCTTCGGGAGGGCAAAATTCCAGCCAGCTTAAAGCAAGCTGTTATAAAACCGCTGTTGAAGAAACCATCACTGGACCCCACTCAATTCGTCAACTATCGGCCTGTTTCCAATCTCCCCTTTTTGGGCAAAGTCATGGAACGTGTGGTGGCCTCACAACTCCAGGCATTCTTGGTAGACACGGATTATCTGGATCCGGCACAGTCTGGCTTTAGGCGGGGCATCGTACCGAGACAGCCTTGGTCGCCTTAGTGGATGATCTGCGTCGGGAGCTCGACAGGGGGAGTGTGTCCCTGTTGGTGCTGCTCGACCTCTCAGCGGCCTTCGATACCGTCGACCACGGTATCCTTCTGGGACGCCTCGCGGGGATGGGTCTTGGAGGTACTGTTCTGCAGTGGCTCCGCTCATTCCTCGAGGGTCGGTCTCAGAAGGTGGTACTGGGAGACTCCTGTTCAACCCCACAACCTTTGTCTTGTGGGGTTCCTCAGGGTTCAATACTGTCTCCCATGTTGTTTAACATCTACATGAAGCCGCTGGGAGAGATCATCCGGAGTTTCGGGGTGACGGTGTCATCTGTACGCAGATGATGTCCAACTCTGTCACTCCTTTCCACCTTCTACTAAGGAGGCTGTCGAGGTCCTGAACCGGTGCCTGGCCGCTGTGACGGTCTGGATGAGGGCGAACAAATTGAAATTGAATCCAGACAAGACAGAGGTACTCCTGGTTAGTCGTAAGACCGAACAGGGTATAGGATTACAGCCTGTGTTGGATGGGGTCGCACTCCCCCTGAAGACACAGGTTCGCAGTTTGGGTGTGATCCTGGACTCATCGCTGAGCCTGGAACCCCAGGTTTCGGCGGTGACCAGGGGAGCATTCGCACAATTAAAACTTGTGCGCCAACTGCGACCGTACCTTGGGAAGTCCGACTTAGCCACGGTAGTCCACGCT